TTTTTTATTTCTTTTTCTCCCCTTCAAATACTTATAATGAAACAAAATATTAAAATATTTTTTTAAGTTCTTAAGGGGCCCTTGCCAGTTTCATTTCTCTTTCCCTCTTAAACTATATTATTATGTCTGAGCTCCAGTGTATTTTCTACTTGCTATATATGCATGTATCCAGAGATAAAATACAGTATTGCCTTTGCATATTTTAATTTTCAAATAAATGGTAACTACTGCTAATACTTTGTGTCTTCTTGCAGAAATTTCTGTGACCATACAAGCATATATAATTTTTTACATACATAAGTTCATATACACATTTCCACACTTTGTGCTTTTCACTTAATATGTCTTAGATATCTTTTTATATTTACCCATGTAGAGCTACCTCATTTGACTTAACAGCTCTGAATATTCCATGTTAGATGTACCTCAGTTTATTACCCCAATTTCTTATCAATGGGCATTTAAATTGTTTACTTTCTCCTATTGCAAAAATTCCTCTATTACAAATATTGCTGAAAATGTTTCTGTGCACTTACAAAAGTATACTTATGAACTAAATTTCAAAGGTTGTGTTCATTTTAAATTTCAATAGTCATAACCAAATTGCTCTTCAAGAAGTATGAGAGTGTTTGTTTCCCCCTATTCTGGGTATTGTCAGATGATTTGACATTAGTCAAGCACTGGTGAAAAATGGCATTTTATTGCTTGAATTTGCAATTTTCTAATGTGTGCAATAAAAGCTCTTTTCATCTGCTTATTGGTCCTTTTTTATCCTGTGAACTGCCTATTCATAGCCTTTTCTCTTTTAAAATTTGATTCCTTTTTCAAGTTGCTATACAAGTGCTTTTTTATATTAGGGAAATTCAACCGATTCTCGTACGTATCGCAATTTTTTTTTACCAGTTTTCTTTTGACTTTGTTTATGGTATTGTTTAAGTTACAGAACTCTGCAGAATTTGATTCTTTCTTACTTCTCTTTCTTACTCTAGTCTGGGTCCTTGCCACTCAAAGATTTCCCATTGAACAATTACAGAACCAAAGCGGGGCATTACTAATAAACCTGCCTCACAAAATTGAGGAATCCCAGACCTTGGAATGGTTCAAACGGACACTAAAATTTATCTGACAGGACTGTTGTGTGGAGGACAGGGAGACTGGATTTGAAGATATTAGAGTTCCTTCCACTTTTCAATAAAACCCATGGTGCTACGAAGAATCTGCTTGGAGTCATTTTTTGGAGTCTTTCAGAATGAGCATTTTTGAGCTCTCCTTATTGTCTGTGGTTACTTGCATTTACTGTAGGAGACTTCACTGTCTTGGCTGCAATTTATGCCCAATTTATGCCCATGTGGCTCTCTGGAAATAAAAGAGGTTGGAAATGTGTGACTCGGGCTTATGCCCAACACTCCCCTCCCCCACTCCACACCTCCTCTGCCCTCGAAGGTCCCAGCACCTCCGTGGCCCAGGTGGGGAATGAGGAGTGGGTTTGTGTGACCTGTGAGGCCTCCAAGGGCTGTTGTGGGACCATCTGTTGATCAGCCAGAACGAAATGTACCCCCTTCCCAGCCCACATGTAGCGTGTTTGCCAGCTTCTTGAAAATGGACACATTCCCTTTTCTGTTTACACCATAGACACTCAATAAACAGCAAATGTTAGTAGTCATAATAATCCATGGTCGCCCTGAAAAACAACAAACTCTTGAGTAAAATCAGCATTAATGGACTCCAAACAACTGTCACATCTCAGGCGCCTCAAAGTGAGCTTGCTATTTGGTAGCCAATGACCTTTCAGTGCCAGCCTGCCCCTGCGTGTTACTGGAGGGGGACCAACTGCTTTCCCAGAGTGCTCGGGGCAGCTTCCGACAGCTGTGTTTGCCCAACTGTTTGATGTCACCTTCCTATTTAGTCTTCGGACTAGATCTGAGAAAAGAAAACACAGCACAACAGCAAGTTCTAAACTGTAAATATGACAAGGCAATAAAATGGCTTGTCTGCTTAGATATTGGGAATGCTCCACAGAGACCAAAAGGCTGGAAGGGGAGGCTAGGATAAGATTTGGAATCCCCATTTCTAATTTAAGGCCTTCAGAAGTCTGGATTTGTTTAGCATGTAAATTCCTTAGAACTGGCATTCCTCAATTGATTGGAGAGTCTGAATCTGGGCTGCTGACAGAGAGTCTAGAGGAGAGCGATGGGTACAGCAGAGTGATTAATCATCTCATTTCTTTAGAAATGGAAACAAAGATCCTCTGTCATTGTGCTGTGGCTTAGTGGTAAGGGATCTGGAGCGTATCTGGGAACAGTCCCCTAGTTCTGGCACTACCTGGGCCAAGACATTTTATCTCTAGGCTTAGTTTATCTCACTTTGCCCATCTGTGTAATGGGAGGGTCAGACTTCATTAGATTGTCTAATGAAACTCTAAGAGCTTCAGTAGCCTTTGCAAAGTTAAACAGAGACCAGAAACTATCCAGGAAGCCTTGACTTTATCCATAAAAAGGGCTTATAAAGACTTTTAAAAATGTTCCCTGTGAATTTTATATAAATTTTGCCACTCCCTAAATCTTCTCTATCTTTCTTTGGAAACTAACTCCAAGGAGGGTTAGTTTCATGAATCTACTCACAGGAGCAAAGGGAATTTGACCAGCTGGAATAATTCCTCAAACTTTTAAACTCTTGAGTCCAGATCTTGTCCATCACTGTCATTGATAACAGAAACAAATATATATTGAATATTTACAGTAAGTAAGAAACTTATTTTGCCAGGAACTTGATTAAAAACAAAATCGACCCTATGCCTGACAGACAGATTCACATGATCATTGTAGAGGTAAATTTCAGATAACAAGGTAAAACACAGGGGTGGCATTTTCTGGATTACAGTGGAAAATGGCATCAGGATGCTCTGTGGATGGGGAGAGCCCTGACAGAAGCCTTGAAAAAGGAGGCCTCAGAGTAGTGAAGTGAAGCTGGGAGGTGCTCCAAGCCAGGAGGAATGATGCACAAGGGCACACAAGAGCAATATTTGGGAGACACTGAGCAGGTGAGCCTCTGAAAGACAGGACCAGTGAAAGCGAGTGGCCAGCAGATTCGGCTGGAAGTGAGGTTGGAGGTTTTGGCAGAAACTGCTATTTACTTACTCTGATATCTTTTCCTCTCCTGGCAGAAACTGCTAGTTACTCTGATATCTTTTCCTCTCCTCCTTAGTAATCTAACCCTGATTTTTAGCTGAGCTTCTTACTGCTCCGAATTAAATATTACTTTTTCCAAGTTCCTTTGCAGTTAAGTGTGAACATGTGGATGAGTTCCGGCCTATAAAATATTGATACAAGCAGAAATGTTCTGGGGGACTCTAGGAAAATGCATGTTTATCTTTCCCCTTTTTTCCTGCTACTTGGAAAGCAGATGAAGTGGCTTGAGCTCTAGCAACCATCTTGGACCAGGAGGTGATTTGAGAATGGGTATCACATGCTAAAATTTCTAGAGAAAAAAGGAGACTGGGTCATTAATAATGCTTGGAAGCTGCATACTAGCCCAAGACTGCTTATCTTCAGACTTGTTTTACATGAAAGAGATTTTTAGGGCATAATTCTTTAGTATTTTTCTTAAAAAAATTCTTTTTATTAAAGTGTAGTTGATGTATAATATTACATGTTACAGGTGTACACTATAGTGATTCACAATTTTTAAAGGTTATGCTCCATTTTTAGTTATTATAAAATATTGGCTATATTACCTGTATTGTACAATATATCCTTGTAGCATTTTTTTTTTTTGGCCGCACCATGCAGCATGTGGGATCTTATTTCCCGGACCAGGGATCAAACCTGCGCCCCCTGCAGTGGAAGCTCAGAGACTTAACCACTGGACCACCAGGGACGTCCCCCTTGTAGCTTATTTACTTTATGCATAGTAGTTTGTACCTCTTAATCCCCTACCCCTATCTTGCCCCTCCCCCTTTCCCTCTCCCCACTGGTAACCACTGGTTTGTTCTTTATATGTGTGAGTCTGTTTCCTTTTTTATAATACTCACTAGTTTGTTTCATTTTTTAGATTCCACACATAAGTGATATCATACAGTATTTGTCTTTCTCTGTTTATTTCACTTAGTGTAATACCCTCCAAGTCCATCCGTGTTGTTGCAAATGGCAAAATTTCATTCTTTTTTATATATATACACACTTTCTTTATAGTAATTTCTAATAAAGTTCAATGAAGTTACGAATAATAATAGTAGCTAACCTTTTTTTTTTAACCATGTGTCCTGTATTGCAAAAAGTATATTACATGTATTATTTAATTTAGTGCTAACAGTAACTCTGTATGCCAGGTACTGTTGTAATCTCTATATTTCACATGAGGAAACCGAGTCTTGGAGAAGCTAGTAACTTTCCCAAGGTCACACGGCAGGTTCACAATGGAAAGGGACAATATTTCCCTAGTTTTTGTTGTTTTTTTTTTTTTTTTTTTTTTGCGGTACGCGGGTCTCTCACTGTTGTGGCCTCTCCCGTTGCGGAGCACAGGCTCCAGATGCGCAGGCTCCGGTCGCGCAGGCTCACGGGCGCGCAGGCTCACGGGTGCGCAGGCTCACGAGCCCAGCCGCTCCACGGCATGTGGGATCCTCCCGGACCGGGGCACGAACCCGTGTGCCCTAGCATCAGCAGGCAGACTCTCAACCACTGCGCCACCAGGGAAGCCCTCCCTACTTGTTTAAGAAGAAGGTTAGTGAGTTCTCTCTGTCGCCCCAGACAGGTATAAACTGAGTCTGGGGTGCTAAGCAGAGATTTCTAGGCTAATAGGGTTTATCTGGCTGGTTCAGAGAGCAGGACATGAATTTTGACGCCCTGGGTTTTGAGGACATTTTGACTGTGCCGTCCAAGCATACTATCTGTAGTGATGTTCTCTCTAAATATATCACAGGAGAGAGTTAAAATATAGAAATATATGTAAGTTAAAGGCAAAAAATGAACCCCCTGTTTATAAATTTATCTTCTTTCTTACAGATTCAAACAACGCATTTGGGGTATGAAGATAAAAGCTTTGCTTATGAACCATGTGTGAGTCACATTGACTTTAGGAAATGATGATTCAGCAAATGATTCAACGAAAGTTGACAGTAAGCAAACTATTTCAAGTTCTCTTAGAGTCGTAGAGTTGGAAGGACTGTGGGATGCCGAGGGCCCCCCAGCATTCCTAATCAGAGGTTGTACAGCCGTCTTCCATACCCTTTGAGTTACAGCAACTATTACCTCACCAAGCAGGCTGCTCCTTCGTCAGACAGCTCTAGTTATAAGAATGTCTCTGTCTATGTTAGCCCCTAGTCTACCTCTCTGTGACCCCCCTCGCCCTCCATTGAGCCTCATTCTGCCATTTGGAGCTGCTCAGGGATTCTGTCTAATCCCTCTTCCACATAATATTAACCTATGACTGTGTTTCCAAGTTCCAACTCTGAGGTTGCCTACCTCTGAACAAAAACTAAAACTGTGTGTGTGAGAGAGAGAGTGTGTGTGTATGTCTGTGGTATTGAGGGGAGGAAGAAGAGAAGACCAAGTCAGATCACCACTCCAGGACCGGCTGGTTCACTCTGGTGCTTGAACATGCACGTCCGAGCCTACATTTGCTCAGTGCTAGCTGGGCTTGTTACTTTCAAAGGTGGTTTTGCCTAGTGCTTTCTAGCTTAGAACATCCAACTGCTCTTTCTGTTGCCTGTGAGTTAACGCATGAGGGAGGATGAGAGTGACTCCTGGGAAAGGTGACTATCTTCAAGTTTACCTCAGTCCATGGAACCCTCAGAGGATGGGCATCCAGATGAGCTATCATTCCAGGAAATACCTCTCTGCCCACACGCTCCCCTCAACCCCCAACACACATACCCTGAGCCCTGAATCAAAGGTAGGGCTGCTGCCACAAAGCTGATGAGGGACAGCTCAGTGGCTCATTAAGAATCGGAGAGGCTACGGCTCCAGAGGCATCACAGTGACAGGGATACTCGAAAGGAGACACAGAGTCTGATGCTGGCGGTTCGACGTGGGAACCCAACCACACACATAGGAGAGAGGGCTCTGGTGTCAGCGCTGCAGCTAAATAGCCATCTTCCTTACCTTCTCTGATGGCCAGTGTCCTCATCTATCAAATTTGGTAGGAATCCCTTTCTTGCAGGCCTTAGCACCGATGTTTACTCAGTAGCTCTAGACTTCCTTCTTTTCTTGGCTCAAAATGTTAAGGCAGGAAATAACTTAATGAATATCATTAACTTGAGATTTCCTTTGTGGTTCATTATAAGGAAAAGAAGGAGAGAGGGGGAGAGAGGATATAAATGAATCAAAGGCAGCTGGGTTTGGTAGGATGAACATTGGCCCAGGAGAATCAGGACCCCTGGACTTCTAGCCCCAGGTTCTGCTGCTAAGTGGCTGTGTAACCTCGGGCAAGTCAGTTGACCTCTCTGGGTGGGCCTCATTTTTCTCATTTCTAAAATGAATGCCATAAACTGGGAAGTAATTTCTAGTGTATTATACTCACAAAAATTCTAATCCTGTTCTCACTCATTGAAGTTTGTTGTGTACCTTTCACACACCAGGGACAATTTCACAGCCAGGAGCAACTCCCGAGGTCCCTGCTCTCGAGGTGCCTGTTTCCCGGGGAGGGAGACAGATAATGAATAGACAAATACATGGTGATGGCTAGTTGGTGATGAGCACCGCGAGGGACAATAAAGCAAGGCAATGTGATGGAGAGTGGCTGGGCTGGCAAGCGCTGGCCGGCACATGGTGGAAGGAAGTGCTATTTGGGCAGCAGCTTAATGATGGGAGGAAGGGAGCCCAGTGACTATTTGGGGGAAGAATGTTCCAGGCAGGGGTCACAGTAGGTCTGAAGCCTGGAGCTCCCAGGAAGAAGGCCAAGGGGATTGGAGCCCACTCTGGGGAGAAGTGAGCCTGGAGGGGCAGGAAGCAGACCGATGCAGGAGATTGGATCTCACTCCAGGCGTGGGGACTTTCATTCTATTTTGGTTCTCAGAGCTGTTCAGTCCATGTGTAACAGGGAAAAACTGCTTCTCCCAGCTCCCTCCCATCTCCAGTGGTGCTGAGAGGTGAGAGGTGCTGGAGGTGAGAGAGGGAGGCTGGGGAGGGAGGTGGGCGGGGGAAGTGGGCATGGTAGGGCTCCTTGGAGAAATTGTGAAGTTTATGAGTGAAGGCAGGAGGCTGGCAAGAGAATGGCTTCCAGTTCATCTTGTGTTTTTCAAACTCTGAGTTCACTATTTAGAATGAAGAGAGAAGCCCTATCACATCCCACCTTTCCCTTTTCCCTTGTATTTTCTCCTCTGTGAGAACACAGGGGCAGTCAATGGCAGTGCCTATACTTTCCTAGCTTATTTTTAAAATATTTGCTAAGCCAAATAATTATGTGTTGTGCAGAAGCTGTTCCCATATTATCTTCGGTCTTTATTTCAATACAACCTTTTGAAAGCAAAGAAGTAAAACCATTGCTTTCCTGGCCTTGGTGTCTCCCGGGGGCCTGGCTGCATGGGCCGAAGCATGTGGACATCTACTCTCCAGAGGGGCAAGTTCAAGCCCTCTAAAACAAAGAAAAGAAATAACAGAATAAAATAAACTGATAAATGAGTAAAAAAGAGCCAGGCTGGGACTGGATTCACGAATCTAAAGCAAAAAGGGCAGATACTAATGATGGACACGGATCAGCTACTTCCCAGACCTCAGATCAGCTGTCGGTTCGCCCTTCCTTACCTACACTTGGACCAAGTTGAAAGACTCGTGGTTTGCATTTTGTCTCCTCTCCGCAGTTTACCTTTCCTAGAAGTCTATTGAGGAGGGACAGCTCCTGAGTGGGAGGAGAAGGAGGAAGGAGAGAAACAGTGGGCAGAATGATGCCCACTCCTGAATTAGCTCCAAGAGACTGGGATTGGAACTTACCCTCTGCAAGGAATGGTGGCCCTCTGGCCACCTCTGAAAAGTCTGTGCAAGACACCCAATCGTCAGAACTAACGCCCTTTCCAGGATTATCGATGTGGACCACAGTGCACGTGGCTGTCACTCCCTGACTCATAACCTTCCAAAAGCATGATCAGGGCCGATGGGATCTGACTCTAATGTGTTCCTGAAGGGTTCCATGCTAATCTCCTCCATCAATCCCTTCCAGCCTCCTTGGCTTGGCTTTTGCTTAAATAAGTCAGGCATATCCCTCCCTCAGGGCCGTTATATTTGCTGTTTCTTCTGCCCAGAATGGTCTCCCTCAGACACTCATATGGCTCACTCTCGTTTCATTGAGGCCTGTGCTCCAACTTCACCGTATCACAGAGCTTCCGTGGCTCTCCTGACAAGCTTGCCTTGCCGCCCTTCCCTCTCCTCTTAGAACTTTGATCTGTCCCCCTGTATACTATCTGTCTTCCTCACTGGTATGTAAATTCAGGAGGATAGAGACTTTGTCCTTTTTAGTCATCGCCATATCCACATCACAATTCCTAGCACATTAATTGGCACTCAATAAATATTCACTGGATGAATGCTTTGGTGGGGCAGAGTCGTACTTGCTGGTCCAGCAATGTCTCCAGCACAAGCTTCGTTCATGAGCCTGTGTATATCATCTGCACTAATTATATGCCCTGGTTGTGTGTGTGTGTGTGTACATGTGTATACATTCGCATGTTAAGAATAGCTCTAATAAAAGTGCTATATATTTTTTTTTTTTTGCGGTACGTGGGCCTCCCACTGCTGTGGCCTCTCCCGTTGCGGAGCACAGGCTCCGGATGCACAGGCCCAGCAGCCATGGCTCACGAGCCCAGCCGCTCCACAGCATGTGGGATCTTCCCGGACCGGGGCACGAACCCATATCCCCTGCATCAGAAGGCGGACTCTCAACCACTGCGCCACCAGGGAAGCCCAGTGCTACATATTTTGATTTTTGAAAATTGTAAAATAGGCATGGTGGCAAGTTCAGGAACCTATGTGGCCAGCAAACAGAGGAAACGTTCAGGACCTCAGCCTTGAAGGCTTTCACTAGGGCTCGGGTTGGCATGCCTTCCTGTTGTCCTGCTAGCACAAAAGGGAGATGCCATCCAGAATGCATCTGGCCTCTGGGCATTGCTGAGGGTGGATCTCAAAGAGGGATCCAATTAATTTAAAAAAATAAAAATAAAAATAAATAAATTCTTTAAAGAGAGGGAATCTACTGAGCTAGTGTTGATAGGAACTGGGTATTGACCCAGATCTCTTTGGGGTCCTCATATCTCCCAAACAGCCTCAGGGTCCTCTGTGGTTTCAGCCACATTGGATTGAGGAGTTTGATTGCTTTTTAGCTTGGTTTCTCTGTTTACATGAAGCTGTTAAAAGTCATGAAAGGACCTCAACACCTCTGAGTTTCCTCTCTTCCCCAAGAGGACTAGCCCATGCTGCATGAAATACCCATAAGGCAGTACCAAGAGGAAAGTTGTCACCCGTGTGTCATTCCTACAGCTTTTGTTGACTAGGTCTTTTTAGTCTGGCTTGCATTCATAAGCAGTGACATCATTTAGCATCTGTTAATCCAAAATTCACTAAGCACATATATTTTGAATCTATTGGAACATTCAATAAATATTTACTGAGTAGCTACTATAATGCATTAAAATGAAAAACCAAATTCTGCCTGGTTTATCAGAAGCAAAATCCAATATGTAAAGGAGGGGGAAAAATGGAGAAATTCTACTGTCAGCTATTCCTAGGGTAACCCCAAGAAAACTCCTTCCAGCCACCCAGGGCCTCAAAGACCATGTTCAAAAGACCACGATCAGGTAGAGTATTTTTAAATGTTTAAAAAAAAAAAAAAAAAGTGTTCTCAGGTCTATAACAATAGCTGATTTTCAGGGACTTCCCTGGCTGTCCAGTTGTTAAGACTCCGAGCTTCTAATGCAGGGGACGTGGGTTCGATCCCTGGTGGGGGAATAAGATCCCACAGGCTGGGTGGCATGGCCAAAAGATTAAAAAAACAAACAAACAAACAAACAAACTGTTTTTAATGTATTTAACATATCTCAGTTTAAAAGCCACAGTCTCTTTAACCCTCTGGCAAACTATTGAAATTCACACTGCTTGGCAGGTAGACAGGCCAGAGTGTCGATTCAGAGAAAGGAAGGCCCGTGGTAACCAAGTGTCACATCTAAAACACCTGTGTGGGTAGGTGTGCACCTAGATGGGTCAGAGTTCTCTCAGTTTTCTGATACCGTTTATACCACTGTACAAGACAATCAAGATTCTGACCATTGAACACGAGGTGTATTTACTGCAGTGTGGTCAGTTTAGCCAGCGGCAGGAAGCATTTCTCTCTCTAGTGACTGATTTGAAGGCCAGTTGTCCTGAGAATTTGGATTTTTCTGGATCTTTTCTCAGGCATATGGGAAACAGATGGTAAGCACGTAGTCGTTCTCTTTTCCATCTGATCCTCTGGGCAACTATTGAGGTTGACTGGATGGTTCCAGTGTTCAAATCATGATGGTTCTGTTAGAAATAACTCAGTTTGCATCTAGGGGTAAATAACAAAATACAACTTTTCCTAGTGAGGTATAAATTGGGTATCTTTGAAGTTATACATTTTGAAGAATTTAAAATGTCCAATACTTCTGAAAACACATAACCTTTAATGAATTGATTTTTGTTTTACCATTTCTTTTCCTTTTGTTATGCATTTCATCTTTCTAGAACTGACATGTTTAATGATAACATGATTATTTTCAACCAATGGTTGTGTAGTAATCATTACAGTAGCCTAATTGTAAAAGTCATTGAATATCAACTCAAAGACTGTTGACACCAACATCAGAAATTTATACACACACCTACATACACATGTACTTGTGTATGTGCGTGTGTTCACATGTGTGTGCATTATATATGGAGAAGCAGAAACACTGAATTACAGCTAATATCTCCCACATGTACACTGGACATTGAAGTGATACTCATTTTTAGTTTCAAGGAGTTGTTTCCCAGGCAAATCAGTAAGGCAATAAACTTACTTTTTAAAAGACCCAAAAGTGTGTGACTGAAGGCTACTCAGAGGTAAGGGGCAGATCTGAGGTCAAGGCTGTGTGACCAACTCAGTGTCTCAGATCCCACAATGTCCTCCAGGGCCATTTGCTGCTGCCCTGGTTTCTCACACCTAGCACCTTTGTATACCTATTAAGTTGGAAAATAGTTCAGTATTCAAGGGCTGGAGGCTGAAGGTGGACCAGCAGCCAAGGTGAATCCCAGAGGTTCTTTGAGATTCATTCGTTCAGTCAAACGTGCATTTATCGAGCAACTATTATGTGCTGAGTTATAGATGAATAAACACCACCACTCCTGCTTATAGCCCAATAAGAGAAGACAAACATAAGGCAACACATGGGATCCTGTTCTAACAGATGCCTGGACCATCTAACAGAGGCTGTGAAAATAGAGGGAAGATGTAACCTTGTGTAATAGTTTCCTAGAGCTGTTGTAACAAAGTACCACAAACTGGGTGGCTTGAACTAATAGAAATTTACTGTCTTACTGTTCTGGAGGCTGGAAGTCTGAAATCAAGGTGTTGGCAGGACCATGCTCCCTCTGAAAGCTATAGGAGAGAATCCAATCTTGCCTCTTCTTGCTGCTGGTGTTTGCAGGTAATCCTTGGTTCCTTGGCTTGTAGATGCATCACTCCAATCTCTGCCTCCATCTTCATGTGGCCATCTTCTCCTTTGTGTCTCTCTGTCTCTGCACATGACAGTCTCCTCTGTGTTTCTCGTCTTTTTGTGAAGACACCAGTCATACTCTTTAAGGGCCTATGCTACTCCAGTATGACCTCATCTTCACTAATTACATCTTCAAGAACACTGTTTCCACATGAGGTCACATTCTCAGATCCTGGGGATTTAGAACTTCAACGTACCTTTTTGGGGCAAGGGTGGGGGGGTACAATTCCACCCATCACATCCTGATGTTCATTTTGTAAAAGTTAATGTAAAGCTTCAGGAGACTCAGTGCTTGGCCTGTTCCACTTTCTCTTTGGAGACTCATAATCTATTAAAAAACAACTCTTGAAAAAATTTTGTATCAGGATTGCAAGATTATAAATATTATGGGATACTTAAATGTTTTCAATCAACAAATTAACTTATAAAACAAAAACAGAGCGCAATATAATTATGTTATTCATGAGAAAATTGCAGAACTTACTTAAAAATCTTAATTTACAGTGTACTCTATGAAGTGGGATCCAAGTTTTAAGTTCCCTGATGAACGGCAACTTATTTTAATCCTGTCAGTTTATCTTGGTCAGCTATTGTGTAACCTCACTAGACTTAACTTCAGAGGCCTCCTCTTGAGGCCCTTTGTGAAAATGAGGCTGGGCCTCACAGATAGCACAACCCCCCTTGAAAAGAAGCCATTTTTGATTGAAATGTGCTTAGTTCCTTCCCTTCTGCCCACTGAGCCCACACACACTGCCTTTGCTCTGGCTTAGTTTTCCTCACACCCTCATGCCCCTGACTCCTTGCCAGAGGGTGGACACATTCTGTCCAGCCCACAGGTGGCTGCTATTTGCAGCAGTGAGCTCCGCGTTCAAAACTGTGTTGACCCCAGGTCTTGAGCCTGTTTGCTCTTGTCTAATGACCCAAAGACAGCTCAAGGGCTCAAGACAGCTTTCTAAGTGCGGCAAGCATTCTCCAGAGACATTGTGATGGCTCCTATAATATATTCTTCACAGTTTGGTAGAGAATATTGCTTTACCTCACCACATTGCTACTGCCCCCAGAGAAATGATAATAATAAGAACCAACATTTATTGAACACTCACCACGTATTAGGCACTGTGCTCACCTTTTTACAGAAATTCCCTCAATCTGCAGAAAATTTTATGAGGCCAATACAGATGTCTTCCTCATTTTACAGGAAAGGAACCCAAGGTACAAAGCAGGTAGGTTACTTGCTCAAGGTCACACTCTTAGTATCCTTGCACTCAGGTGCTCCAACCTCAGGGACAAGACTCTTCACCGCTCTGGCCACCAATGGAGGACAATGAATGGATGACCAGTGAGCAGGTAGATGGATGGATGGACGATAGAGCAATAGATTGACCCCTGTACAGTGAGCTCAACTGGCCTACCCTAGAATATGTCAGGCCCTTTGGATAATGTAACATCCCCACAGTCACAGACATGCTCGTGAGGCAGTAGTACACAGGGGTTAAGAAATTGGGCTCTGCAGTGACACTACCTGGGTTTGAATCCTGGCTCCATTACTTCTAAGTAATGTTGGGCAAGTTGTTTGCAATTTCTGCTGCCTCTTAAGTTTCCTCTTATGTGAAATGGGATTATCATAGTATTTTACTCATGGAGCTTTAAAAGGATTAAATAAAATGATGCATTTTACAGTCAGATTAGGCCTGGCAAATAATTAGTGCTCACTAAATGTTGGCTAGTGTAATTGTTTCAGTTATTTAACAGCAATACCTTACTTTTGTCTTGTGTCTATACCTCAGAGCTTTCAAAGCTTGTTATAAATGTTTTCTCATTTGAGCCTCATCCAGCCCCATGTGATACACAAGGCAAGCATTTATCTCTAGTTTAAGGAGGAGGAATTCATCTCAAAGAGTTTAGGGACAAAATAAGTCCTAGAGCCAAAGATAGTGAATGCAGAATGGGCTGGAAAACAAGTGGCTTGACTGGGCCCTGAGGGGTAAGACCTACCCAGAGGAAAACTGAAAAAGTAGAGAAAAATCTAGCTTTGGCCTCTCCGTCCTCCTTTTCTCTTCACCCCTGCAGCCTGAGTTGCTTTAGGCTACTGATCCCCTCCAAAATTTGATATTGTCTTGAAGAGTTGTTTTTTACATGGCTATGACTTGTTTAAGGAGGGCACTTGTGGGGTTTTTAAGGCCCTAAGGAATGTAGCTGTGATAGAGATGGTTCAGGCACTACCTGAGGAAGTGAAAGGGGAGGTGCGCTGTAGGTATTTTGGTGTGTCTGAAGTCCAGGAAAAGTTAGGCAGGAGACAAAGCACAAATGGCCTTCCATGAAGAGCCTAAGGATCTTAAACTTACCTTTAGATGACAGACTGCAATGGAAGCATTTGAAGCACTAGAGGGACACAACACGTTTGCATTTTAGACACACACACACCAGGGCTGATGGAGAATAGATGGGAGGCACGGATTCAGGGAGACCAGTTGGGAGACTGCATTGATAATTCAGGTGAGACGTATGGATCGGCCTGAATTAAAGCAGTGACAATGGAGAAGGAGAAAAGAGGTCATCATGAGAGAGGTTTACGAGGTGGCGCTGAGAGTTTGAATAAATGTGGAAGAGGGTAAGAACTGGAGTTGGAGGTTTTTACAGTCAGATTGTGGGTGACAGGAAATGCTTCCTAGAACAGTAGTTCTCACATTTCATCGTGCATCAGAATCACTTGGAGGGCTTGTTAAAATAAGGATGCTGGGCCCCTACCCAAGAGAATCTAATTCAATAGGCTGGAGTAGGGGCCCAAGATTTGCATTTTTAGCAAGTTCCCAGGTGATCCTAATGCTGCTGGTCCTGGGACCATACTTTGGGAACTCTCCTAGAGAATGGTATAGTTACATTTTGATGTAGCTTCTAGGAAGGATTTAGACACAAATTAGCTGAGAAGATAGAGGGGAGCATTTTAGGGGGGCTCAAAGGCATAGGCGAGGCAATCATGACTTACTCACTGGAGTGGCCTTTGGAGAGCTTCAGCATGTTGGAGGTGAGATTTTCCTTGACAACTATGCCCCTTTGCAGTATAACCTGTTTTTGAGAACTTCCCTTCCTCATTGTGAAATGGCCATTGGATATAACGAGTCTTAGTGTGGGTTTTCCCAGGTGCAGACGCTGAAGATGGATTTAAGTGAAAGTACTTTATTTAAGAAGCACAAGCAACTCCAGTAAAGAAAGGCATGTTATACAGGGAAGGGAAGACAGAACTATTAAGCCTCAGGGAAACTGGGATCAGTGCAAAGCACACGCCTCAAAATTATTCCTACCAAGGTGGGAGGGAGATGGGGTATTTATACAAAAACTCCTGACAGGCACTATTGAGTGTGGTAGCTGGTGACTTGGGGTAGTGTGTTAATTCCTTGGCACTTCTGGTCTGCAGCTTGCTGGGCAGTACAACTTCCCTTAGTACTGAGGAAAAGAGCCTCAGGGACAGAGATGCAGATTTGGCTTTAGAAGTGGTGGAATATGTCCAAAGGGGCAAGGGACAGACTGTACATTGATAAAACACCACCTGGGGGTAATCTTGAGCTGAATGCCAAAAATGGTCTCTGATAAGTCTCCCAGTCTGGGCCTTTAGGCAGCGTGGCAAAGCAACAGTCAGCCTTGTAATTCAGTGTTTATTTTCATTTTGTGCATCTGGAGAAAGAGAAAGTCAGGAAGGTGAATTGAGCTGAGGTAGGAGGAAGGATTCCTTTGGCTGGCTAAGGATGGCAGGTATTTAGCCTCTGGGAATAGCACATTTTAGAGTTAATATTCTCTACCTATTCCCTACATGTAGGACTATTCTTTACGTACTCCTTATCTGTAGAACTATTCTTTTCTTATTTCAAGAAGCAGAAGTCAGTTCCAAACTGCTAATGGGGTTTGAATTTTGTTTTGGTTACTCACTTGAGATTAACACATTGCTAGCTTATTATCTCATAGTTTCTTATTATTACTTTTTCTCCCTGAAAATACCATGACTTAGGTATTTCTTTAAATGTTCTTCCCTGAAGGCCATATTTTCTTTGGCATCTAAATTAGATTTGCATTTTACTTTTGGTCCTTCTCAGTCTCTGCAGCCTTAGGTTCATTTTTAGATCAGCTGGTGTTTAGACCCTTTTGTCATCATTCAGAATTAAGCAAAATAACAGAGAAATGAAATGGTTCTGCTCCCTGTTAAGCTCCTGGGGTGGTCAAATAAGGCACACCTGTAACCAATCAAGAAATGTACTAATCACATTGAAATGTCTTTTATTGGTTTCATAAAAAAAATGAAACATTTTTTAGGTAAAAAGTCATTATTAACCCTAATGGCCCCTGGGATGACTCTAAGGTGCATTGAGATGCCTCTTGGGTGTTGACCTGTCCAGAGAAATTGCTTGGTAAGTTTTAAACTTATTTTTAAATAAAAATCAGGACTGTCATTCATACTTATTAAGTTTAAAATATGTCATTGCTTTATAGTGTAATATAATGGTTTTTACATAGTGTAAAATGTTTTCTTTTGGAGATCAGATTGGTCTTGTTTGAAAGTTACTATGTGTCAATCTTCAGCTATAAATTCATCCTGAGACCCAAGATATGGAACATCTATTTATGGAAGATTAGCTGTGGTGTCTGTCATTCAGCAGCCCAAGGGGCAGTGGTGAGGTCAAGTTCTAAAGTGAACCTCACACATAGGAAGATATTTCATGCAATGCAGAGCCGAAAGGGTCATACAGCTTGCTCATTTTACAGATAAGGAAAATGGTCCCAAAGCAAGGGAAGGATTTCCTAGAGTAAGACATTTAGTTGTCAATTAAATGACATGCAGGTCAGAGATGGAAGGTTGGTAAACTCTCTCTTCCCAGCCTTGGGTGCCAGTTTTTTTTCTGTGCCAGTCCTCAGGGTTTGTTTAGACCAAGGCAGGTCTGGAATTGCCACACTGAATAAATGTTAACGACAGGATTCACAAAGTATATTCAGTGGGACAAAATTAACTTAAATATATTGTACTATGGTTGAATACTTTTCAGACATGCAAGGAGAAACCAAAGAAGCCAGTAGATTTCCCTTCCTTCGAGGCTCTGTTTCTTGGAGCCATTACAATTGAATGTGCCTGCAAATCTCATAGAGGGGTTAGAATGCTCAGCACTTCCCACACTTCTTGACAATGGAACCCTCTTCTCATGGACCAACTTATAAGACTAATGATTCTCAAGAACTCCTACTGGGAAAGGCCAGTCCCAATTCCCTTGTTTACTTTTGAGGAAAGGAAGCCACAGAGAAGTTTTATGGGACAAGCTTCTATTTTGGAAAAAACTAATCTCAGGGGACTTCCCTGCTGGTGCAGTGGTTAAGAATCCACCTAACAAAAGAAGAAGTAAAACTGTCACTGTTTGCAGATGACATGATACTATACATAGAGAATCCTAAAGAGGCCACCAGAAAACTACTAGAGCTAATCAATGAATTTGGTAAAGTTGCAGGATACAAAATTAATGCACAGAAATCTCTTGCATTCCTATACACTAACAATGAAAGATCAGAAAGAGAAATTAAGGAAACAATCCCATTCACCATTGCAACAAAAATAATAAAATACCTAGGAATAAACCTACCTACGGAGGTAAAAGACCTGTACTCAGAAAACTATAAGACACTGATGAAAGAAATCAAAGATGACACAAATAGATGGAGAGATATACCATGTTCTTGGATTGGAAGAATCAATATTGTCAAAATGACTATACTACCCAAAGCAATCTACAGATTCAATGCAATCCCTGTCAAATTACTTGTGGCATTTTTTACAGAACTAGAACAAAAATCTTAAAATTTGTATGGAGACACAAAAGACCCCGAATAGCCAAAGAAGTCTTGAGGGGAAAAAAAGGAGCTGGAGGAATTAGACTCCCTGACTTCAGACTATACTACAAAGCTACAGTAATCAAGACATATGGGACTTCCCTGTGGCACAGTGGTTAAGAATCCACCCGCCTAATGCAGGAGACACGAATCAATCCCTGGTTCGGGAAGATCCCACATGCCACGGAGCATCTAAGCCCGTATGCCACAACTACTGAGCCTGCACTCTAGAACCCGTGAGCCACAACTACTGAGCCCACGTGCCACAACTACTGAAGCCTGCGCACCTAGAGCCTGTGCTCTGCAACAAGAGAAGCCACTGCAATAAGAAGCCTGTGCACTGCAACAAAGAGCAGCTCCTGCTCGCCACAACTAGAGAAAGCCCACGCACAGCAACGAAGACCCAATGCAGCCAAAAATAAATTAAAAATAAATTTTTAAAAAAGGACAATATGGTACTGGCACAAAAACAGAAATATAGGTCAATGGAACAGGATAGAAATCCCAGAGATAAACCTGTGCACCTATGGTCAACTAATCTATGACAAAGGAGGCAAGGATATACAATGGAGAAAATACAATCTCTGCAATAAGTGGTGCTGGGAAAACTGGACAGCTACATGTAAAAGAATGAAATTAGAACACTTCCTCTTAGAGGAAAACATAGGAAGAACACTCTTTGACATAAATCACAGCAAGATCTTTTTTGATCCACCTCCTAGAGTAACGGAAATAAAAACAAAAATCAACAAATGGGACCTAATGAAACATAAAAGCAAAGGTAACTACAAACAAGACGAAAAGACAACCCTCAGAATGGGAGAAAATATTTGCAAATGAAGCAACTGACAAAGGATTAATCTCCAAACTATATAAACAGCTCATGCAGCTCAATATTAAACAAACAACCCAGTCCAAAAATGGGCAGAAGACCTAAATAGGTATTTCTCCAAAGAAGATATACAGATGGCCAAGAAGCACATGAAAAGCTGCTCGACATCACTAATTATTAGAGAAATGCAAATCAAAACTACAATGAGGGGCTTCCCTGGTGGCGCAGTGGTTAAGAAGCTGCCTGCCAATGCAGAGGACACAGGTTCGAGCCCTGGCTGGCGAGGATCCCACATGCCACGGAGCAACTAAGCTCGTGCTCCACAACTACTAAGCCTGAGCTCTAGAGCCCGCAAGCCACAGCTACTTAAGCCCGCATGCCTAGAGCCTGTGCTCCACAACAAGAGAAGCCACAACGAGAGGCCTGCGTACTGCAATGAAGAGTAGCCCCTGCTCACCGCAACTAGAGAAAGCCCGCACACGGCAGCAAAGACCCAACACAGCCAAAAAAAAATAAATTTATTTATTTAAAAAAAAAAAAACTACAATGAGGTAACATCTCACACCAGATAGAATGGGTATCATCAGAAAATCTACAAACAACAAATGCTGGAGAGGGTGTAGAGGAAAGGGAACCCTCTTGCACTGTTGGTGGGAATGTAAACTGATACAGCCACTATGGAGAACAGTATGGAGGTTCCTTAAAAAACTAAAAATAGAACTACCATATGACCCAGCAATCCCACTACTGGGCATATACCCAAAGAAAACCATAATTCAAAAAGACACATGCACCCCAGTGTTCATTGCAGCACTATTTACAATAGCCAGGTCATGGAAGCAACCTAAATGCCCATTGACAGACAAATGGATAAAGAAGATGTGGTACATATACACAGTGGAATATTACTCAGCCATAAAAAGGAATGAAATTGGGTCATTTGTAGAGACGTGGATGGATCTAGAGACTGTCATACAAAGTGAAGTTAAGTCAGAAAGAGAAAAACAAATATCGTATATTAACACATATATGTGGAACCTAGAAAAATGGTACAGATGAACTGGTTTGCAGGGCAGAAATAGAGACACAGATGTAGAGAACAAACGTATGGACACCAAGGGGAGAAAGTGGCAGGGGGTGGTGGTGGTGGGATGAATTGGGAGATTGGGATTGACATGTACACACTGATGTGTATAAAATAGATAACTAGTAAGAATGTGCTGTATAAAAAATAAATAAAATAAAATTAAAAAAAAAAAAAAGGAATCTGCCTGCCAGTGCAGGGGACACAGGTTCAAGCCCTGCTCAGGGAAGATCCCACATGCTGCGGAGCAACTAAGCCCATGCGCCACGACTACTGAGCCTGCGCTACTGAGCCCATGTGCCACACTTCTGAAGCTGGCACGCCTAGAGCCCATGCTCCGCAGCAAGAGAAGCCACTGCAATGAGAAGCCCACACACCACTCTGAAGAGTAGAGACCCACTCGCTACAACTAGAGAAAGCCCATGTGCAGCAATGAAGATCCATTGCAGCCAAAAATAAATAAATTTATTTTTAAAAAACCCAAACTAATCTCAGGGGTAACCAAGCACCAGGCATGCCCACTCTAGGCAGCTGTCTACTGAAAGAATAATTCCAGGGTGCCCTATTTAGGCACAGTTTAGATCTGAGATTATCTGTTTAATTCAGGATCTGCAATGCCATCTTGGCCCTCCCTAAAGCATATCTTGAGTCACTGGAGAAGACAGAATTGACCCAGTTTTTCAGTGACCTCCAGACCACCTGTGTTCAATAGGTCAGCTAGACTGCCCATACCATGCTGAACTGGATTTCAGGAATAGACCTGCATTTCAGGGTCTTCCTGGGGCTACAATGCACTTGAGAATCAATGGGACAATTATTGTCCACTGTTTACCTGCCCATATATTGCTATATTGTCAAACATTCCAACTTCCAATGTTATGTGACTAACCATGAAAACATTGCTGATAAACTCTCTCCACTTTCCTTCTTAAAAAACAAACTGTTCTGGTCCCGCTGACAGTGACGGAAAGGTGAGTTAGATATTAGTTCAAACTCTGTCAAGTGAGTTAGGCATTCCCAGACTGCTCATTACCTCACAAAGAGCGTTAAGAACTAGTTAACCTTTTTTTTTTTTTTTAAAGAACTATTTAATAAATCACTCTCAAAGGATGGCTTAGGTAGGTTGGTTTGGCATATACAGGACCTCATAAAATGCCACCTCCTTCACATAGCCTTTTCTTGCTAACTAGAAAGTGATACAGCAGCTTCCTCCCCTAAAACCAGCTCATACAATCACTAATGGACATGGAAATTTATATTCAATTTAAAAAATTGTCATCTAAGCTAGATGTACCTTTTATGTTGTAAATTCTATGGCTGCCTCTCTGTTCATACTTACATATACATGTATACACAAATACATGTAATGAATAATTTTTGAACTCTAGACCTTATTTTTAACAACAACGTAATGACATATATTCAAACTAGTATTTGGGAAGTCATTTTCCTGGAAAGAAATTCACATACACATACATACACACATATGCGTGCAAAGATGCACACACACATACACACGTATATTTGTGTGTGAGGGCAAGAGTTGGAGGTACTGACTATGGAGTAAGTTCAAAGCCACACAAGAAAGCCAGCTTTGCTATCTTATCTTTATATCTCATGTTGGAAATTCTTTAGGAATCAGCAATTTAACGCTGACATTTTTTGAGACCCATTCATTTGCGAAGTTTGGTTGGCAATGGACAGTAAATTGTTGTAAATTCTGATAATTTACTGCATAACTATTGAATATCTATGGGTAGTGGGTTGAAAGGACAATTTTGGGCTAGGCTGTGGAGAGGGGAAACAGAAGCAAAACAATGAAAGCCCTTGGCTGTTCTCATTGCAATACAGAGATCCAGAGACTCGCTGCTTCAAAGTCAGGACTCTCAAAACCAGGAAACTTCATGAAGAACTCACTTAGAAGATAAACCTATGTCCAAGACCTCCAAGGAAGCAGGGACAGGAGAAAGAGAACCTAGAAATGGATCAGAAGGTAATTTTAAAAGCTCCCTCTTCCATGTTTATGTGTTTTTCATTGTAGGGAGCATCAGTAGGAGGAGGTAGGAGTATTTAGAAGGGTGAGTAGGCATATTGCTGAAATTTAGTATGTCTGACATGGATTTTGGAAAGCAAATAACACCTGGGAGTTTTGATAATTTGAGAAATCTCTTATTCATACCTACATATCCTGCTATGTTATTGTATCTGCATGTTTCACAATTGAATGTATTTAACTGTATACTGTATAATGTATTTCTGATGTATATTTGTTTAGCTACTGTCTCTACACTAAAGAGACAGTAGCTAAAGCTCTACACTATGTAGAAGAGAATAGCCATATGGCAATGTCAGAACACGCCATTTTCCACTGCTTAGCTCGGCATTCAGGGTCCTCCACAGCATAACTTCTACTTTAGAGCCTTCTATTACTTCTCTACATATACCTTATTTGACCTAAACCAGATTAATCTTCATTCCTCAAACATGCCACACACTTTCCCACCCCTATGTGACTGCTCATACTATCTACTAATCCTGGAATGCTCTTCCCCCTGTCATTTCTGGATCTTAAAGTTGTATCCAAAATTCACTCAAAAATGCTGTGTCCATGCTTTGGATTCAAGATGGCTGACTGAGCACACACATTTATTTCCACCTTTCTCAAAATCCTAATAAATTTTATGAAAAAGTTATTAATAGTAACAAATGACAAATCAATAACGGGAATAAAAAGAACTTGATACATAGTATCTACTAGAAAGTCTATACAAAATCTAATTTACAGTGAAAATGAGTGCTCTAATATACCTAGAAATACGCTTATACTATTTATGTGCAAGACCTATATAACAAAAACCATAAAACTTTAGTAATGGATGTAAAAAAGAATCTGGATGGGAAGATTACATTATCAAGTATCAATTCTTGCAAAATAAATCTACAAATTCAATGCAATTATTAAAAAAGAATCCAAAGATAATTTTCATGGAACTTGATAAACTAATTCTCAGTACTTCTAAAAGAACAAAAGTATAAGAATATCTAAATGAATTTTAGAAGAATGAAGGAAGCTTGCCCTACAGATATCAAAACATACAAAAGAGGTACAATAACTAAAACAGTGTGATACTGATTTAGGAAGAGTCAAATAGATTAATTGAATGAACACTTTTTAGGGAAATTGATAAGCCACTTCTAAAATTTATGTAGAATATCCAAGACAGGTAGAGCCAAAACTCTCTTACAGATAATATGGTGGGAGGACTTGCTCTTCCAGACACCAAGGCAGATTATAAAGCTACAGAATTACAACAGTGTGATATTGTAGACCAGTGGATAGAATAGGGAGTCCAGAAAGAACTCATACATATATAGATAAGATTGATACCAGAGGAGGAATTTCATCAGTGGGGAAACAATGGAATTTTTAATAAAAGGTGCTGGCATAATTGGCTATCCATATGCAAAAAATAAAATTAGATCTCTTGTTCATTATATAAAAAAAAATTTCCAGATAGGTTAAACACAAATATGAAAGGTAAGACTCCTAGTATTTAGAAAAGTTTACAGGAACACATCTTCATGATCTTAGGGAAGAATTTTTTTTTTTAATTGGAATATAACTGCTTTACAATGTTGTGTTAGTTTCTCCTGTACAATGAAGTGAATCAGCTCTATGTATACCTATATCCCCTCCCTCTTGGACCTATCCCCGCCCCCATCTAGGTCATCACAGAGCACCGAGCTGAGCTCCCTGTGCTATACAGCAGGTTCGCACTAGCTATCTACTTTACACATGGTAGTGTATTTATGTCAGACCTAATCTCCCAATTCATTCCACCCTCCCCTTCCCCTTCCGTGTCCACATGTCCGCGCTAGTCACAAAGGAGAAAATTGATGAGGTCGACTACATGAAAATTAAGAACTCCTGTTCATCAAATGTCAGTGTGAAACTAATGAAAAGAACCACAGAGAGAGGAAGATATTTACAACATATATAACCATCAAAGGATTAGTATCCTTTATAGGATACTATTAGATCAATGAACAGGGGGCCAAGAACTCAACAGAAAAATGCGCAAGAGAATTAAACAGACACTTCTCAAAAAACAACAAAACATCCAAATGTCTAATACACATACGAAAAAGAGTTCAACTTTACTAGTAGTCATGGAAATGCAAATTAAAACCACAAGATTATGTTATTTCACACCCATCAGACAGATGAAATTTAGAAAGCTTAATCTTAAGTGGTGGCCAGGTTAAGAGCATACATATAAAGAATGTAAAAAATTCTTATCAATTTACATGATAAGAATGTAAATTGGTACCAACATTGGAAAACAGGTAGCATTATTTAATAAAGTTGAAGATAAGCATACTCCTCGACCTATAATTTACCTGCCTACTTACATACTCTGGTCAGTTAATTGTCTATGAGTACCAGAATACACGTGCAACAATGTTCATTTCAACTTTGCTCTTAACTGACAAAAGCTGGATATACTCAGTTCCTCCTCACCAGCAGAATGGATAAATAGAAGTATTGTCATATTGTACAATAATTAAATTATTACACAATAATAAACATTATTATATGATAATATTATACAATAATAAAAGTAATGACATTAAGTGAAAAGTTAAGTTATAAAAATTACATACAGCATGAATCCATTATATAAAATTTAAAAACAGACAAAACTAAACTATATTGTTTAGGAGTGCATACAGAGGTGGCAAAACTAAAAATAAAAGCAAGGACATTTTTACTCTCAAGGTCACGACAGAAATGACCTTTTTGTACCTGAGTGATAGTTATATAAATGCTCACTTTACCACCGTTTGCTAAACTGTACACATAAGCTTTATACAGTTTTCCATATATTATACTTCACAACAGAAACAAAATTAAAGTAAAAAACAAAAACAAAAACCCAGAAAGTAAAAGGAGAACAAAACAAGAAAAAACACAAGAGACTAGAAACAGACATCCATGTTAATTCAACAAGTGCTAAAAGTGGCATTTCAAATTCAATTTACTTGTTAAGTAGAGTCAAAACTGGAAAGAAGAGATTGCCTGATTTGACTGCATATGGATTTAAAACATCTTTATGGCCACACATACCACAAACAACTTGGAGGAAATACGACACACAGAAGAAACACATGGCCAATAGCTATAATATATTAAGAATGACTGGGGCTTCCCTGGTGGCGCAGTACTTAAGAATCCGCCTGCTAATGCAGGGGACAAGGGTTCGAGCCCTGGTCTGGGAAGATCACACATGCCGCGGAGCAACTAAGCCCGTGTGCCACGTCTACTGAGTCTGTGCTCTAGAGCCCGCGTGCCCCAACTACTGAAGCCCATGCACCGAGAGCCTGTGCAACAAGAGAAGCCACCGCAATGAGAAGCCCGCACACTGCAACAAAGAGTAGCCCCCGCTCACCGCAACTAAAGAAAGACCACGTGCAGCAATTAGGCCCCAACACAACCAAAAATAAATAAATAAATAAAATTAAAAAAAAAAAGAATGACTATAGATCAGTATAGGTGGGGAGATATGGGCCAATAATACACCGAATAAAAGGTACAAATGGTCGATAAACATATGAGTAACCAACTTTATTAGTAGTTGGTAAAGTGCAAAATTGAAAAAAATATATAATATGCATGAAAATTTAAAATACAATGTAATTATTTGTGCAATTATATATTAAACTTATTAAATTATAAAATAATTACAAAATATAAAAATTAAGGGGGTTATTAAAGCCTGAGTCTCCTTCTAGCTTTACCTTTCTTAGTGTATGACTTACACCCTCATGCTCTGCCCCCGGACATTACATCTGTGTCCCAGGCCTAGAGAAGGGTGGAATGGCAAGAGGAAAACAGTACGTGCCTGCTGAATCTGACCCTGCTCCTCAGTAAAATCATACCTTTCCCAGAAGGCTTATTCTCTAGAATTACACTTAAATCTTATTGGCAAAACTATGTCACCTTTTTCCCCTAACATTTAAGGAATTGAGGAGGAATGTATTTTTTAAATTAGCATATTTCTGTCCCAAACTAAATTGCAGTTCCGTTAAAAAGCAAGAAGTGCTTAGTCAACTCCTGCTGCAGGATGGAAGCACCTAGAACAGTGCCTGCTACATTGTACATAATAAATATTAGTTAAAGGAATGGGAATTTTCATATTATAATCTACATAATCCCCAGAATGACAGTGAGGGGCATCAAGATGAGATCTGAGTACCAGGAAATTAGGTCGGATAGAACAGAAGGCTCCCTGAGAGATCTAAGATGAAATGGATATAACTATAAAATGCTACTTGATGTCTTTGAAAACACCAAGAGCGGATTTAGACAGAAAGTTTGAGGTAGTGATAAGCCTCTAGAATTGTGCTGTTAACACCATAACCACCAGCCCCATGTGACTATTTAAGTTTAAATTAAACAAAAAAATATATAAAAACTCAGTTGTGCAGTCATGCCAGCCATATTTTGAATTCTCAATAACCGCACGTGGCTGGTGGCTACCATCTTGGTGGTGCTGGTATAGAACTTTCCCATGACTACAGAGAACTCTATTGGATACTGCTTATCTGGAAAAATGAAGCCGATGGAGAAAAAAAAGGAGAGACAGAAAACAAACAACAACAACAGCAACAAAAACTATCAACTTGCAGAAAAACAAACCCTTGTGCAGGAAAAGAAAAATAATCATAATATATATATGGGGTTCAGCTATGAATGGCCTTTTGCAATCATAATAACATAAACATTGAATTCTGAATTACATAAATAGAACATTATTGGGAGGATAGAGATGGGGGATGAGGCCTGTGTCTGGTGAGAGTGGGGGTTATATAAAAGAGAACTAAAGCCTGATCTTCCAAGGTGGGAACCTGACAGATAATACCAATGACTGGAAAACTCAGAAAAGAATAATATAGACATTTTGTTAAATGTGTAGAGATAAATAACAAAAGATTCAGTTAAAAGGGTTAAAATTATTGTTTCCAGGGTGGGAAAAATAAAGGAATAGTGGAAACAGGAGGCACTGATTTTAATAACAAGCCTTGCAAAACTATTTGATTCTTAAATGATGTGCAGATAAAATTTGGTTAAAATAATTAATAAAATCAAACTGCAGCAACAAAAACTCTTTTACAATGCCATTTCCTCCATCAAATCTTTTCTGGTCCCCAGACGTGACACTTCTATACTTTGATATTTCAGAAAGCACCATCTGAAGCTCTGCTATTGGTACCTCACTGTACCCTGCTTTGTTTTGTAGCCAATTATATTGGCTTATAGCCAAATTCCTATTGATTCATAAATTCTGAGACTAACTACCGACTGGTTTCAGAAGCTTCACAATATTTTGGTATTTCAGTCTAATATAAAGAGTAAAGATTCCAATAAAATGTTTAAAGATGTAATAATAATTTAAAAATAATAGCTAACATTTATTGAGCACTTACTATGTATAAGGCGTATGATAAGAAGCTACCAATAGATCAAGGTGTCAATTGATTCTTTTTCAACAGAAGAGGCCGTTGATAGGCCAGAAAAATAGAGGTGCTCTTTTGTCTCGAGGGCATAACTCCAGATAAGCATTAATCTATGCCTATTTTTTACTTTTTAAAAGGCCCGTATTATTTTTCAATTTAACACCATCTTTTAAAAAGCACATAATGAATAGTAAGTCATAATTCTAGTTTGCAGCTGCCAGGTGAATGATCTCATAATCCACACAAATATTCCTTTGTCATAAAACCTGTGGAAACAAAAGGAACAGGTATAATTAATTCAGATGATAAAATGATGTTCAAATTTTACCACCATATGAATCATGGAAGGGGAAGAGATACGTATGTTTGAAATGTGACATTACTTCCTAACATTTAACCAAAAAGAACTATAACAATATGTTTAGTTTCAAATCCATATCAAGATGTGAGTGACCCATGGGGTTTTTGCCTTAATACAGGGAAGTGGAAAGGGATTAAATCAGTGAAAATTGATTTCAGGTAGAAAATTGTTGGATGATTTTTACGAAGTCAATGTCTTACACTCTGACTTGCATAATAGAGCATTATCTTCTAGTAATTTACTGATTTCCATTTTATCTGCCCTTGCTGTTCAGAAATTCAACCCTTTTGTGCCTGCACTCACACTTTGCTTCTAGGAAGCATTTGAGTAAATAGAAAATCAATAACCCAGTTACATATGAGAGGCTCTGCATTCCTAGCAGCTAGGCATGCTTAGAAAGGGAGAAGGTGATGAACATGATCTTGGCATTCTCCCCACCTGGTTTAGTAATAGAAAAATGATGGGGCCTAATCTCTCTAATTACGCCCTGTGGATACCTTATCTAGTGTCACCATCAAGTATTTTCACCAATCACTTCATTTTTATCACATTTTTAAAAATTGGTTTTGCCAACTTGATGTTTTCTGGATCTTATCTCCCTGTTTCTTTCACATTAACACCTGTTACTTACCTGTGGCTCACCTGGTGAGCTGTATATGAGCAAGCATAGTTATCTCCATGAAGATTGGAAAATTGACAGGAAGAAAGTTGCAGAAAGCTTAAAGCCCCTCAAAGTCATGCTGATTTTCTTCTAAATTCTTTTGCATGAATATGGTGTTAAACAGAGCTGTAGGAAATGAGAGATTAAACATAAATTAGAACCACATACTCTGGAAGTTAGGTAAAATTCCATTACATTTGAATACTTCTATGCAAGCAATTTGTTACCCTTTATCCTTTAGTGGAATTGATGAACAGGTGGTTTTCAGAAGCTCACTCAGTATATTTAGCTTCTGAAATTTGAGCAACTCGAGATCTGATTGGCTGCTCTGGTCACATGATAATTCAGAGCCCAGGCTCCTCGCTGGCTCTTGCCTGGGGTTCTCAGGAGGGGAGAGTTGGGAGAGGCTTTGCTGCTGAGGAAATTTATTTGGTAGATTGAAGGTAAGGCCAATTTACGGCTTTTTCTGTAATATTCTTTCAGGACCTGTTCCACAACTTCCCTTGAAGTATTTTCCAAAGTTTGGGTTGTAACTGGGGAAATGAGTGACGCAAATGTGACTAGGAAAGTCTGTAACCCCATTGCCCTACTCAGACCTTACTAATACGTGACATGTAGTGTGTGATTAGAGTCGAGTCCTATATTAACCAATTTGTTGCTTGACTGAGTTGGCTCTGTTGTCTAACAATTTTTTTTTCATTTTTTGCCTTTTTTTTTTCCCTAAATATGTTAGTACAAAAAGGATCTATGTTCTACGTTCCTATGTTTATCTGGTTCTACTGGGCTTCATTTGCCTCAGAAGGAGCGGCAGTTTTGCTAGCGTAACAAAACCAGCCACAGCTGGGGTATTGATTTACATGGCAAATATCTTTGGGCGAAGGGACAGCTGCTCCAAATCATCATCCACTTTTATCAAGGGAGAGTCCTACTCTCTGGCGTCAAACTAAGAAGGCCTTGGGAGATCCTTTTGCTAGTTCCTGAATTAGAAGCTTAGGCCAGAGACCCACCATCTCATATGTACTTCAATCAATGCTTTAACAATTTGTTATTTTTCAGGTTTGAACAGAGCTACAGAAACAAAAGAGAAAAAGCCACACAGGCCAATGGTGTTCGGGAAGAGAATAACCCCATTGCCTTGAGGTTTCTATTTTTTCTTTTAAAGTCCGTTGACAGATTTATTTTTATGTGTTCTAATTTGAAGCATAAGATCTATTGCATACAATGTAGTAGAACAGGATGTAGACCTAAGGCAGCCCTCCTAGAATTTGGGTGCTACCAGGAAAAACTCCAACTTTTGCTGAAAGCCAAGCTGAACTTTCACTAAAATTTTTGCTTGAAATTTTACTTGAAAATACTGTTCTCCAGGTATCTGGAAATGTAAATACTCTGTACCTTTGAATCCAAACCCTTTACCTCCCTTACCTCAGCTTCCTTTTACAACTTTAGCTAAATTGATCATGTAGCTAGAAGTAGCAATATAAAACATATTCCTGTGGGAATCAAGAGAAAGAAATTTGAAAAAAAAAGAAATTTGAAGCCTCAGATTTTTTAGACCTGTATTTAAATGTCTTTTCTCACTTAGCCTGCAAAAATATATGAATATGTAGAATGGATTAGCCTTAAATTCTGTTTTTAGAATGTTATAAGATGGTTTCAGTCCTGGGGATAGATTCTAATGTATTTTCTAGTGTATAGATTCTAATGTATTTTCATTCATCTGGAATATGAAAAGTTTGTAGGTGCCACTACTACTCTGGGAAAATGGCAGATGACGAAGAATATGAGGAGGTGGTGGAGGTAAGATTTTTTAAAATCCTGACTCTGACAGCAGAGAATTTTATGTGGCGACAATCAAAATCGTGTAGGTGAACTAATCATTCGAAAAACACATTGTCTATTATAACTTCTCAAGGAGTCATCGTTAAAGCATAAGAAAGGAATATTTTACGTTCAGTTTCACTATAATTATGTGGGAGTAGAACTGAAAAGAAGTATCACTGTTTCCCACTTCTGCTTTTCTTTAAACTCTCAGAAAAAAAAAAAAAAGTGTGTTGTAAAGACAGATTTTCATTTGTCTTCTGAAGTTACATTCTTCCCCACTTCCCAGACCCCATGATCAAAGGGACTGAGGGGATGAAGAGAAAGTTCTGAGAACTGAACTCTATTTCTTAGTGTCTGCACAGCCACAGAGGAAAAAGAGCTACTTACTCTTTGCTTCAATCAGCTAATTATCTATGTATAGGGCGAAATGGACCAAGTGTTCAGAATAATGTATATATATGAGCTTATAGACATATGGGAGATTTTATATATGTGTTTATGTGCACACACATACATATATAAAAGCAAACTCATGAGTTTATTTTTACTTGTCTCACAAGTGACGGCTGGAGTCACACTTCCCCACCAACTCCAATATATTTACCCAAGGGAACAAGACTAGCTTTTGCATTTGAATTTTGAAAAAAAAACAAAGATCATAGTGGGCATCTTGAAATATTCCCTCAAGATTATTGGTGGATATCTGACATGAGTTATAAAGTTAATTGTTTATTATATATATATATTTATTTTATTTTGTTTTTATTATGTTGTGGGTTTTCTTTACCACCTCTTGCCTTTAGCATCCATGTGATACATTGCCATTGAATCTGAAGGTCCTTAATAATTACCAATTAACCATGATGATCTACACATGTGAAAATCTCTAAGTGCCCAAGATAGGTGGAGGCAGCTTTGAAAATCTGTGCTTTTTAATAAGAATGAAATTAACTTTAAGAGTTACCCAGAATCAAATTCAAATTGAACGTGCCAAAATTTATCTTTGGAAGATTATTTTATGGAGCAGTTTATATTTAGGTCAAGAAAATTTTATTCTACAAATAAAATTGCTTTTATTACTGAAGGATATGAAGAAGAAGGAAAAGAAAAATAAAACCCAGACTGAGACTCATTCAATATAATGTTCAACTTATCTGGCTTAAATGCCAAAGGTCATGTCTTCAGTGTTCAGTATTATCACTAGTGCATTTTACATACGTCCCTGATGGTCAGAATAATCACTATGAAGCACTAACACAATTATAAATTAAATTGCCTTTCCTATGATGGTAATACCAGGAATACTTTTTAGCCTCCAGCTTAAATATACCTTGTCTTTCTTAAAATAATTGTGTTCATTGGTCCCTGGAAATTGTCCTTAGTGCTAGATTTGATGGATTTAACTAGATGTCATAAAAATGGAGGAGGCTATTTTTAGGCATCTCACCCTTGCCATTTTGTTCCCATTACTGCTTCTGGGTCTGACCAGCAGGTGATATACTAATAGACTTTCTGCCAGAGAGAATTGAACCAAGGTCTCTCTGACCTCAAAAAAGATGCCATGAGAATGGGATGGTGGCAGATTTAAGAAAACGGGCAGGGAAGAATTCACAAAACAGACAGGAACTAGCTTTAAAAATATATCTCCTGGGGATCTTGGACAACTAAATAAAATTATACTGTCATTCTGTACTCAAACTTAAACTTGGAAAGAAAGGAAAAGGCAGAGATATACTATCTAATTAGTGGCACAGCTCTAAAAAAAAAAAAGTGAGATTTGGCATGTAAGTTAATGCCAACCATTTGGATAATGTTGCCTTTTTTGGTAAGCTTTTTTCTAAGACATGTTTACTAATGATGAGAGCCCAGTAAAGGTAAAATTTGATGGCTACCAAAGAGCTGCTTTTACTTGGATGCTAAGAAAATCCAAAATAGTTGTGAATCACTCACTTTAGTTTAAAATTTCTTTTCAAGTCACTGATGTTTTGTGTGGCCAGAAAAATGTTCCCATGTAGATCAGCATCAAACAGCATTTCCTAAAGTGTCCAAATGATAGTTCCCAGGTGATGAAGGCACAGCACACAAGAGATTCTCTGTCCTGTAAGAGCTTGTGATTTATGTTGCTATGTGTAAGGGCACAGAGACAGAATTGGATTTCAAATTTTTAAAAAATAGTACAGGAGCAAAGAAAGCACAGGAGTGGGGGACGTTAAGCAAGTTTTATGCTAATTTTACTGCAAGTGAAACAGACCATGTGGCCTACTGACAATGGTTAAGTAATTTGATGAGAGTTCCCTGAACCAAGGGCAAAAGAAAGGCCCCCGAGAGGGATTTTGCCTTCAGTTTTTTTTCCTCCCCCCAAGAATGTTTTGGTGGTAAAGAAAAAATGAAGCATAAAATGTTATACATTTTGTTAACTGAGAAAATGAACCAAGTGTTTCATTTTTATCCCTTTCCTTGTATGCCTCGGCCTAAACTAGTCTTTCCTTCTGTTCACCCAGCTTTGCTGGGTGATGCTGGGGGCAGGATTCCACTCTCCTTAGCATCTGAAACAAAATGTCAGCCAGCTCCTATCCACGTCTATTTATTGCTAGTGATGTCAGAAGTAGCTCAAAAGTAGATTTGACTTCATATCCAGCCTGCAGGCACCTCAGAGCCATCAGTGGCAAATCGCTGCCTAACTTTCCCACATTTTGTTGATGAGGAATTTCTCCGTAGCAACCCTTTCAGGACCATCATGCTACTAGAAGCAATTTGCCCATCACTCCAGAAGAAACTCTTATTACTTAGTACTCAGGGTGGTATAGGGATAATTGAGATGTGTCTGTGCTTTCGGATCTATCATTTCCATGATAACAATATTTTAAAATTTTATTCACACTGAGGTTTCTGGTTTTCTTCTTTTTTATTGTTAGTCAGCAGTGAGTTTTATCACAGTTCCTCTCTGCCAACCCCCACACTCAAGATATTGTTATTATGTTCTTTTCTCAGCAAACTCTATCTAGGGTACCATAAGAAAAGAATTTTACTTGTCTCAAGTAAAATAGCTTCAGCAGATAAATAGCCAGCATCAGACACTTTCCTCGTCATTCTGTCTGCATCTCCTTGTCCAGTCTGAGGGCTTTCACTGTAGCTACCCTGATGTTTCACATAGTTGGAATGCGTTCCAAAATGTGAGCAGCCTCCCTCGTCTACGTCCTTCCCACAAATATTGAAAACCAACTGGACTAGTGAAATAAGCCAAGTGGTTCTACTGAGGCAGAGCAGAGGTGATTTCTGCTTTAGTTCTCATGATAACTTTGTTCTCTATTTATAGTATTACACAGAGGAGACAGTCTATGAAGAGGTGCCGGGGGAGGTAAGACCCAGCCCACACCTGCACGAGCTGCATGCTCATTAAAGCAGAAGGAGCCTTTTCCTCTCTCAGACTCCCAGGGCCACCGAGCTGGCAAAAGGGAGAATCTGGAGGATCACTCACATGTGTGCCCAGCAGCCAGTGTTCAAAGAATGAAAGTTACCTGTTTTTACTATTCGATATATCCAAGATGGCTAGGGATGGTTTCCCCTGTTATTCGTATTGTATTTTTGGTGTAGGTGATGCTTATTAGAATGACGTCATTGGCTATCACCTGACTGCAGCAAAGGTATTGCCTTGGACTTGTGATTTGCACGGGGACCAACAGTTTTATTGTGTACTGTAATAACTTCTGGGGCACCAGCTCTGCCAAAAGAGATGGCACCTCCAAGCCTTTGTTCTTGATGATACAATAAAATGCTACTTAGATTTTGGCACATTAGGAATTCTGAGAAAGTCATTTCCATAAATATTCCAAGTTGGAACTTTTTTTATCAAGCTCTCTCATGCTTCATTTTCTGCATGGAGCTGTTTCTCTTGAGCATGACAAATAGTGATATGGATGGCTAACCCTGAAGCCTGCATAAAAACTAACATCTGTAGATGTTGTAAATTGGTTAGTTTCTCACCATCAACCATACATCAGTAATAACGGGCAGAGAGCAACCTATTAACAATGATCTGACAAGAGTAGAGGTAGTTGTCATAGATGTACAATTTCCTTATCATTTAGGTTTCTATTTTCATAATTGATGCTGGAACTCTTCCTTTGGTACAGATGATATAAGCTGTGAAGGAAATTTTACTATGAGATGGATTGAAGATTTAGCTACTTATCTTCTTTTCTTACATACTGTATTTTTAACCTTGGACTAGACCCAAACTTTGGACCTTCGTTTCTTCCACTATAAAGCCTGTTGTAAGAAACAACAATCTCCCACCTACCACATACGTAGGACTGTTGTGAGGCTAACCAATTACCCCATTATGTTGTCATCATTATTCTTGTCTACCTAAGCATTTATTAGTGTAAATGGCACTCCAGTTCACATTAATTTTTTAAAAACATCTTTATTGGAGTATAATTGCTTTACAATGTTGTGTTAGTTTCTGCTGTATAACAAAGTGAATCAACTCTATGTATACACATATCCCCATATCCCCTCCATCTGTGTCTCCCTCCCACCCTCCCCATCACACCCCTCTAGGTGGTCACAAAGCACCAAGCTGATCTCCCTGTGCTAACTGACTAAGCCAAAAGAATGGTAATCACTTGTAATATTGATGTGATTCATTTTTTCAAGTTCATCATTCTTTGTCTCATACTACAGAATGCTTAAAACACCTGCAGAACAAGCAACCAACTTTTTCTTAGAATCATTTAAAAGTTAATATTAAAGTCAAGAATTTGAGCTTTATTTGATTGTCTTCATTTTTTTGTTCCCTGATCCCAGTTTGCTTTTACTTTACCCATGCAGTTTAAGAAGATTTTTAAATGTTTGAAAATTTTTATTTTTGATTTTTATCCTATCTTAAGGTGTTCCTTTAGGCAAATGGAATTTTAAGGTAATGTTGCAAGTCAGTAAAGAGTAACCATTTTATTCCATGCAATCTGACACAATCAGCATTCAGATTTATGTCACACAATATGCCTTCACATGAATATAGCATGTAAGTTCCTGCTTTGGCCTGCTTTAGATATGGAGAAGTAACACCAGGGATATCAGTCTGACTTGGAGTTAGAATAATGTATATCAAGACTATGGTATCTCAGTTTTTACTTTCATAACAATGTTGTCAAATTTTGACATAACTGCATGTCAAATTTTCAGACAGTAACAGAAATCTATGAAACTACGACAACAAAGACATCTGACTATGGGCAATCAGAAACTTCCAAACCGGCACTGGCACAGCCAGTACCAGCAAAGCCGATGGGGAGGAAGAGAATCGTTCGAAAGAAGGTGGACCCTTCAAAGTTCATGACCCCTTACATTGCACACAGTCAGAAAATGCAGGATCTCTTCAGCACAGTAAGTTTCAAACAACTTCTGCTTATATGGTTTTATTATTGAGAAATTACTGATCTCAGCCAACTCTGTTTTGGATGCTGGCTGGATTTTGTTTCTCAACCATGTATGAGACAAAACTTATTGTACAGAAATATAATGTCTTGTAACTCTTGAATTCTGCTTTCAGGTAATTTACTTGCACCATTGCAGCATCAGGGGAAGCATCCTTATTGAAATTGTCCCCACAAAATAAGCATAAGGCCAACTATAAAGCATTTACTGGATTTAATCACTCTTTGATAGCCAGTCTAGAATAATGGAAATCATAGTTATAGATTTATAGATATAGATTTAGTTGAAATCAGTTCACAGAAGCTAAATAACACTTATCTACCCTATGTCTGAGCATGATGCCCTTCAAGTAGACTAGCTAACAGTGTATAACAAGGTATCTAGGAGGTATAGTGAAAAAGAACGTGTAGTTGAACAAGCCAGGATCAGACTAAGAACTCTTCTGAAACTGAGGATCAGAATGTTTTACTGTACCTTGGAACAGCAGTTTTTTAACTGTGGCTGCACATTGGAATTCCCAAGAAGCTTTAAAACTACTGATGCCCAGGCTGTTCTAGTTTAATTGGTCCAGGCAGGCCTGGGACCTGTAGAGGAGGATTTTTAAAAGCTTCCCAGGCTCTCATGTGCAGCCCAGGTTGAGAATCATTGCTTTTGATGATCCCTGGTCCTTACATTTCCATGTACATTTCCGTAAGTTACACTGACTGGCAGCAGGTTTAGACCCCTTTGAATGGATCTCACTTGTTGATTTCCAGAGTAGACTGAGGTCTCACTAGGTGGCCTGATTGCACATCCTCTGGAGGTTTGAAAAAGATGAAAGGTCCTCAGGGGAACATCGAATTATATAGGATTAATGCTTATGTCAAAAGCATCCTGTTGTGGTTGGCCAATAAATATTCATTTCTGGTTGAGTGTTAACTACTGGGGACTATTTGGTAAATTTCTAGTTCAGATTATTGAATGATCTAAAATTTAGGTTTTCTAAAATTTAGATTTCTAAAAACAAGATTATCTTGCCTCTTTTATCACAGTCGTATTCAGCAAAGATAGAAACATTTATTTGTCAATCTATTGTCATAAAAATCTCATTAATTCAGACACTAATATTCAAGAATTTCTGATGGTCTGAACAAAATGTTGGCAAAGGTTTGTAATATTTTTAAAGTGATTAGTAATGAAATCAATAGTATAATTTAGATTGTTGACTATTCCACTTGAGTCTTCCTGAAGCATTAATAATGATAAATTATGCATATTATTGTTAAAGCAAGAACTCGTATATTTAGCAGAAATAATAAAATTGCATTCCTTTTCAAAATACTCATAATTTAGACTTCCCATTAATTCAGCTGGTGTCTCAGTTATCTAAATTACTGAGATTTAGCTGCAACTTCTGAACTGAATATTTTTGCATTGTATTAGCAATCAAATCTTTTCAGACTTGACTCAATTTCTATACTTATTTCCTAAAATTATTGAGGTTCCAGCTTTTTATGTGTGAATTTAGACGATAAAAATATTGAAAGAATCATTTTAGGGCATTTCCAAGACAATATTTTATAATAAAATTTCTACTGTCTCCAGTATTCAGCCATGTTTAGGAAGAACAATTAACCTATCTATTTTAGTTTTTGAGAATCAGGGTAGGGGACAAAAAGAGAGCTATTATAATTGATAATTGTTATAACCTGCAAGATTAAAAAAATAAGATGGGGATGTGTGCATTGCCTGAAATTTCTGCTACTGTGTTGTCAGGGTTTAGGCTAATATCTGATATTCTTTTTAGAATAAATACAAGAAGAACTATGAGAAGGCAAAAGGACAGCCATACGCCATCACAACTGATACCCCAGAACTTCGCAGAATCAAGAAAGTACAAGATCAACTCAGTGAGGTGGGCTGCATTGCGAAAATAAAGGAGAGAGACATTTCAAAAATATGCCTACTACTGGGAATTTGAGGGCTTTAAATAGGTGTGGAGAGAATAAGGGGTCAAATTACTATGAACCAGTCCAGAAATCTAGAGGAAGCAATGGCCATAGATTATGCTGCTGTAAACATGAACCTAAAGAGATTTCTAAAAGCTTGGCTTCAAGGTGATATGAGATGGGAGTTCCAGCTCGCTGTGATCCTCCATACTGGAGCACAGAGAGGCTGAAATTTGCCCGGGAAAGCAGACACGCAGTAAATACAGGTGCTCTATAGATCTTTGGAGATCACAGTTTTCTACCTAAAATGCAGAAACTTGGCTTTGTGATGCAGACATAGAGTGATTGGGTCAGTGCTCTTTATTATAAGATATTCTTTAATATACTCATGTTCATGCCTGTCATGAGTTCTAACTGTGCATTATTTTTGCAGGTTAAGTATCGAATGGATGGCGATGTTGCTAGAACTATTTGTCACGTAGACGAAAAAGCAAAGGACATTGAACATGCAAAGAAAGTGTCGCAGCAAGTCAGTAAGGTAAGGTCATGGGATGGATAGCTGGGGTACTAAATAGCATGTGCATTGTCTCTGCCTGGCCTTAGAGGAGAAAACCGGACTGGCCAGATCCTGCTCACCAGTCTCACTTGAACCCACAGGCATGGTGGGCTCTAACGGCAACACGTGTCAGGGAGGCTGCACAGGTGACTGAAGTGGCCGGTCAGAGCTATGGGGATTGGAAAGCCCAGGCCATGCCACTCAGCTCCAGGCAGGTGCTGCACAGAATGCAGTCCCAGTGTCACCAGAATCTCTTATTTATTTTTTAAAGAAGTTGGGAGGTGAATTTTTATGAGAAATCTCCAAATTTCAAAGGTAGGCAACTAATTAAAACATTAAAAAAAAATACCGTCTAAGTCAAACACATCTACCGTCCAAATTCAGTGAATGACTGACAGGTTGCAACCTTTGTAAAGAATCTCTAGAGAATCAGAATCATGATTTAGTTTACAAAATTAGGCTTTTCAAGTAAAAGCTTACGAATGCAGGCAAATTGTCATGGGATGTCGACATGGTCAGTGTTTCCATAATTGATGCTGGTGGCACATCAGCAGGCTTTGCATGAGGACAACTTGAGTTTGAAAGACTCTTCATAGTGCTCTCCTTTGTGCTCTAAATCCTCATGCCCTTGTGGGAGACATCAAGTCACAGGTCCTCTCTTCTTTCTGTCCAGGTTTTATACAAGCAGAACTGGGAAGACACCAAGGATAAGTACCTGCTTCCTCCTGATGCCCCTGAACTTGTCCAGGCCATCAAGAACACAGCTATGTTCAGTAAGGTAAGGGCCTCTGCTCTGTCGCCACTTCTATCTTCTCATGTCCTCCCACACGTCATGCAGAGGGATACCCCGTAAACCCTGGCTAATCTGGAATATGGTTCCCCAACCATTTTGTGAGTAACCTTGAGACATGTGGGGCTGCAGGGGTAGGGCTGGCCAGGAGGAACTGAGAAGAAAGCTCTTGGGCCGAGTAGAGGAGAGGATCTGAACAACCAGGGAAAACAAAGATGCACCTGAGAGCCTGCTGTGAGACCCACAAAGACCCACAGAGTGTAGAGCCTGTGCTACACTTTGGATATTCCCAGCTGTCACTCTCATTGAAGCTTTAATTTTCTCACTCTTATTAAAGGTTTATTAAAGGTTTAAGCACAGCAATTATGCTAAGTGCTTCCTGGCTCCTTACATTTGCATTAGTACTTGCTGCAGGAGGCAGGTGCAGTTACAGAGGGGAGATGAAACAAAATTAGACACATCTGCCCTTCTGTAAGTAAGACTTGTCAGGAGAAGCTGGAGAAGCTATTAATAGATGTGACTTGGATTGAATGGAATTTGTGAATTCCACTTACCTTTGCTCTCACCTTGCCCTGGGTTCTTTATGCCATTGATGGATGAATTCAAAATTATATATTTCAAGTAAGTGTGTTCTCACGTTCTCATAACTTTCATTCTTCCCTGATTTAGAAACTTTACACTGAAGACTGGGAAGCTGACAAAACTTTGTTTTATCCATATAATGATAGCCCGGAGCTGAGGAGGGTTGCCCAAGCCCAGAAAGCTCTCAGTGACGTAAGTGCAGTGCAGTGTGCACATTTGGGAGTGTGGAATCAGGACACCTCGAGTTATGTCTTCTAGCCAGAAGTTCATTGCAACTCCTCCTGTAAAAAGACTAAGTTCTATTATTGTAAAGGAGTACATCTAGAATCATCATAATTTATGATGTCTAATTTAAATTAGATTTTATAATTTATATTACATATAAGTTAGTCTAATGCCCTCTTCTTACTGGTGAGGAACCTGAGTCTAAGGTCACATAAGTAGTTAGTGGCAGAGCCCAGACCAAAAGCCTCGTCTTGTGATCCTAAGACCAATGTTCTTTCCGCTAGAGCACGTGTCCTTCTATCCCGCTGGCTGGAGTTAAGTTTTTCTGTGACATTAGAGTGGCATTTAAAAAAACTTATTGGGATTATAGCCACCTTCCCAGTTGTATTAAGGGAACAATGTTATTGAAGGATTTTGCTTTGCTATCCTAATCATAAAGTCTGAACTGTGGTATGTCACCTACTTCTGCACGGGGGACCTGACTACGTACTTGTCCAAACATCTTGGTGTGGTTATCTCACAAAGAGCTCTCACCATTGAGTGTACATAGAGGATATTTCAGAGTTAGTGAAAAAAAAAAAGTCAGCAGCCCCACTGGCCAGAATTTTAGTATCCTAGACCTTGAAATCTTTATTAGAGGAACTTAAAAGGCATAATAGAGCTCTTAGAATTGAGAGCAGCAGCAGCAAAGATGACCACTTGGGTCCAGCACTAGCCCTTGTTTTGAGGTACTTTATTTCTTGACCCCTTGATTTGCTAGAGGCCATACTGAAAATAAGACTGCTCTAGGCTTCAGGAAAACACTGTATTATAGAATGAGACATTGTCTTTCATTCAATAGACCCCTGAACCTCTTATGTTAAACATAGACTTAAGTGACTTGGCATCTTGAGACTCATTAGAATGCATCCTAGGATCCTATCTTGCCCTGAACTGAAGTTATACATACTCATTTGAAGGTATCTCCAACTTTTGAGCTCTATTTTTTAATTCCTATCATTTGATATCAACTGCAAGTTTAATAGACATATTTCTATCCCAGTTTGCATATATTTGATTAAAATATAGCACAGATATAATCCTATCCTTCCACAGGGTAAACTAGGAAATAACAGAGGCATAACAAAATTTTAAGGCCTGCTAGTAAATGGCAGCAATTTTAATGTGTGGGGACCTTCTGCCTCTCTTTTAAGATTAGCTGTTTGGTTTTGAACCTCATAAATGTACAGTGTTGTTGTGTGGCCTTTATTAAGTGATCAATAATTTTTTTTAATTGAAAGTCCATTATGCATGCATACCTGGCAGGATGAAAAAGTACAAGAAATTTTCATCCTTTCCCCCTCAGAATTTAAAACCAGGCTGGTAAGATGAAAGTGTTCTATAACAAACAACAAGACAAAAATTAAAAAAAAACAACAAAAAAAGCCAAATCCAAACCATACAGTCTAATATTTGCTAAGAGAAAGACAGGACATGTGTGAATAATCAGAGAAAGCCATGTGGAGGTGGTGATCCCAAGGGAATAGGTAGTGATGAACAGGAAAGGCATTTTGAGGAGAGATAGTACTGGACAAAGGGACGGTAGTGAAATGAGTCTGGAGTTTCAGGGGACAAAGAAAGTGAATGCTTGCTGTGATAAACCATAATGGAAAAGAATATAAAAAAAGAATGTCTCTATGTGTATAACTGAGTCACTTTGCTGTACAGCAGAGCTGGGCACAACATTGTAGATCAACTCTACTTCAATTTTAAAAAATTGAAAAAAAAAAAAAGAAAGTGAGTGCTTGGGTGCTCAGTTAGGAAGGCACTTGTAAGAAACTGGTAGCAGGACCTTGAAAATCAGACAAAATAGCTTTGATATAACATGGTAGGCATTGAGAAGCATCATAAGATTTTGGAGAGGAAAACAACATGGTAAAAGTAGAATCTCAGGAGGCAGACAGCAGAAGCAAGAAAAACTATAGTCCTGCAGCCTTTGGAACGAAAACCACATTCACAGAAAGATAGACAAAATGAAAAGGCAGAGGACTATGTACCAGATGAAGGAACATGATAAAACTCCAGGAAAACAACTAAATGAAGTGGAGATAGGAAACCTTCCAGAAAAAGAATTCAGAATAATGATAGTGAAGATGATCCAGGACCTCAGAAAAAGAATGGAGGCAAAGATCGAGAAGATGCAAGAAATGTTTAACAAAGACCTAGAAGAATTAAAGAGCAAACACCTGAAAGTAGAATCTGGAGAAATTTTGATGGACCATATGGTGGATTGAGACAGGGAGCATCATGATTTGTAGAACATTATTTTAGTAACACAAATCAGAGGGATGATGGAGACAAAGGAGAGGAAGAAAGGAATCTGAAGGTGGTATTTAAAAAAATGTTAATGACATTAGATATTGCAGATAAAGGTGAGAAAGGAAACATCCATGACTTTATGACAGACTGGTAGTCTGGGTGAATAGGGGTATAAGTGGTAAAGATGCCTTTAGTGAAAAGAGAAATAGAGTTGAGATAATGGAAGAAACATTCAGATCAAGGCATTTGATAAACTAGAAATTTAGTTCTATTGCACAGGTGTGATATCAGGACAAGAGATTAATATTTGAGTCAAATAATTTTTAAAAACTGACAACTGTAGACATGAAAATGTATGAGGGAGGCAGAACAGTGTATGGCCAAGGGCAGAGTTCTGGAGGACACCCACACTTAGGACATCTGGAAAGGAGCCAACAGAAGAATGACAGAACAAAGGCCAGAGAAGTTGAAGGGGAACCAGGAAATGCCATGTCATGTAAGCCTAGGGAGAAGTTTCCAAGAAGACTCTTAATCTCCAAATGTCTCCTTTTACCCACAAAATGGAGAGATGAAGAGTCACCTCCATGCCACTTTAGTGCTATGGACTTTGAACAATTAAAGTTGACCACATTTTTTGAGATATCTCAATAGAAGACATAATGAAGAATTTATAATAACGAAGTAGAATCTTCCCATCCTTGCCTCAGAAAGACTTGGCAGTTGAGGTATGGCTTTTATTTTTGCTTCAGACCAAGTATCAGATTACCAGCATGCCTATTAATATTGTTGTCAGCACCATGAACTTCTACAGTTATTGGACACAGGGCCCCAAACAAGCTGTTGTCCACAAACATACCACTGGGTAGGTTCATAGATTTTGAGCTAAGGGTTTGGTTTCAGAGGCTCTCTCTCCCTCTCTGTGTCCTTAACCCTACTTACCATGTTTTCCTTATTATCTATCTAAGTAGAGACAAACGACTTTGCAAACACTGAGAGTCTAAGCCGATCCGGAGTACCGAATTCTAACTAGACAGAATTCTGAACAAAGGTTCTTCAGAAATTAGGACTTCTAGATCTGATCTCTCAGAAAGTTCTTGACAGCATGTCATACTTAGTAAGCATTTCTCCTGGCAGAATGTTGCTTTCTCCTTAAGGACTTAGCTAGTCATGGAAAATACAGGTTGCCCTATGCCTAGAATAAGTCTTCACTTATTTAAAAGAAAATAAGCCATGGAATTAATACAAATACATTTTAAAATCTGTCTTTTGTATCCCAATTGACTTAGTATTTGTGAAAGCGTTTATATAGGCACGAGGTAGATATTTTTAGAATAAGATATAGTTAGACTTGGTTAAAGTATGATGAAGATGATTGTGACCTTGGAACTATCCTACCTATTTACTTTATAAATAAGGACACTGCCACATGGAAGAAGAAATCATCTGTAGAAGTCTCACAGCTGAGTAGTGGAAGAGCTGGGAGGATAATTCTCCTCTTCAGATCTCCCCCGATGGCCTCAGTTTGTAAAACACACATTCAGAAATCAGTTATCAAACCCTCGCTCCAGCCAGGTACTAGACAGGGAACAGGGTTCCCAAATGAGAGGTTGCCATCCCAGAGCTCACAATCCAAGGTGGGACAGACATGTAAACAACCAGTTACAGTGTCATCCGATAATTCCTTTAAAGGAGGTAAGGGCCAAGTTGAGTGAGATCCCAGGAGAAGGTCATCAAGACAAAAAAGGCTCAAGAGGTGAAATCGTGCCTGTCCTGAGACATGAAGAATGAGTAGCAGTTTGCAAGCAGATGGGGAGAGGGTGGAGTTGGAGCTTCCAGGGAAAGGGAACAGCATGTCTGAGGTTCAGAGGCATAAAAGGACCTTGTGTGTCTGGGGATCTGTGAATGTTCTACATTGTTAGAGGCAGGGGTCAAGACTGGTGGAAGAAAAAGCCAGAGAAGTCAGTAGTGAAGAAAAAAGGGAGAACAGGAGCCAAGGGGATGCATAGTTAATGGGCACAATGCTTATTTTAAGGTTCGAGAGGCCTTTTGTAGGCTGAAGGAAAGAAGCTAATGAAGGGGGGGGGCTGTTGAATCTGTAAGAAAGAAGAGGGGTGGCTTCTAGAGCTGGGTACCCAGGGCTACTGGAGTGAGCAGCACCCCATGTGCAGGACTCATGCCCTGCAAGGGATGCTTCCTCTGAGCCATGCAGGGGCTGGGAGAGGCAGGGATGAGGATAGATAAAGATAAGTGTGTAGGCTGTCTTTATGAAAGAGGAAGCTGAGAGGAAAATGGAGTGGATTGGACAGTGTTGGGGTTTCAGACGAGTCACTGGGAGTAGAGACTGACCAGAGACACAAAATGGGATGTTCAAGCTTCAGTAAAGGCGAAGTAGCAATTGGATACCATAAGTGCAGAGTTTTGGGCACACAGCACCAAGCAAGTAGCTGTTCATAGAACATACCATTGGGTAGACACATAGATTTCAACTAGAGGCTTGGGTTCCAGAGGCTCCCTCTCCCACCTCTGCACCTTCTTCCAGTGTCCCTTTTAACCCTGCTTATGGTGCTGTCATTACCTAATCCATAGAGTTGTGTGATTTTCCTCAGCAGCACTCAGCATCCTGGATATAAGAACAGCTGAAGTGTGTGCCTGACTTTTCCAGAGCTGGGAGTTTGTGAGCAGGTGTGATGTAAAGACAAGGGGATGGGAGTTGAGGGTGCTACTTAAGAGAATAACTTTAGTTGTAAATCATGGTGTGGAGACGAATGGAAGGGGATGGATGTAAGGCCAATAGTCTTGGAGAAGGAAGACTCAAAGAAATTGAAATCACTAGTAAAGCTGAGAGAAAGGGCCTGTAACATTTAAAAGGATAAATTACAGTACTCTAAAATGTAAGACTTCAAATAAAGTGGAAGACATAGCCTTTTCTAAAAAATGTCAACAAATGGAATGTGGGAAGTAGATTAATTTGCTATAGCTCTTGAGCATCCCTGTCTTTTATTTTGTCAGATTGCCTACAAAAAAGGTCATGCTGAACAGCAAACTCAATTCACATCTCTGCCGGATCCTCCAGATATAGAATTTGCCAAGAAAGTGACCAATCAAGTGAGCAAGGTAAGTAAATGGGGCTGGGACACTGTTTCCCTTGAAAACTCTGCTGAATAATCTCAGCCATCAGAGAAAGTAACTAAGGTAAACCTAAAAACGCAACACAAACACTAAGAGTATTTGTGTATATGACCGGAAAACTCTACAGCTAAAGAAACACATCCATTAACACCGTGGAACCATGTTAATAAATACTCAGCCAGCTTGATGACTCAGTGATTGATACATGGGAAAGTGTTTTGAGAACAGAACCCATGTCCTGATGTCCTTTGACATTTTGACTTATGAGAGGGATACTAACAGAGTAACCAAGTAACTGCAAATTTCCACAAAGGATCTGATTGTTTTAATTCAGTGCAGACCCTGTATAGTTTTATGCTCAGAGTCAGACTTGGAGAAAATAAGAGTGCATGAGTGGTCTCTCAGATGTAGTTTGGTTAGACAGCCCTGGAAAGTGCACCTCATAATTTTTAAGGCCCTGGCAAACAGCTTACTCTGTCTGTATTTAGTCTGGTAAACTAGCTCTGAGGAATGCAGCCCTGACAGGGAATGCAGAGAAACAGATGTTCAACTGATGAATAGATCCATGCTAAATTCCCATTTTATTTGTTTTGTTTTTGTTTTTTGTTTTTTGCGGTACGGGGGCCTCTCACTGCTGTGGCCCCTTCTGTTGCGGAGCACAGGCTCCGGACGCGCAGGCCCAGCGGCCATGGCCCACGAGCCCAGCCACTCCGCGGCATGTGGGATCCTCCCGGACCGGGGCACGAACCCGTGTCCCCTGCATCGGCAGGCGGACTCTCAACCGCTGCGCCACCAGGGAAGCCCCTAAATTCCCATTTTAATTTGGTCCAAATCAGGCCACTTTCTTCTGGGATACTGCTGCTTTTAAATACTTTCCTTTGCCCTCTGTGGAGTTGACTGTCAGTTTGGTCTTCTGCTTGAATTGTGATGGGACCTCATGATTTCTATCTTGTTTAAGTATTTGGGGGGAAATTATGTCTCCAGTAAAGGAAAAGGAAGGAGATTACAGATGATGAAGTCCATTCAGCAATATTTTTTAGTGTCTGACATTGCAGATTACCTACTGGTGTAACCAAGGGCTATTTGGATAAAAGATCTAAGTACAGTAAATTTTCACTGATAGGAATACGGTGAACCTGAAATTTTGCCCAGGCAGGGCTAAGCAGATATTACCTTTAGAACTAACTATTCACAAAGAGATGGCCTCCTGAAAGTGTTGCTACTGGAAATAAGATTGGAGAGAAGGACAATTAGAGAGAAGGATGGTTATTTATTTATTTTTTGGGGGGGGGAGAAAAATAAAAAATGGCTTTCAAGTAGTCATTTAGAAAGAAAAATGAATCTATTTTTAATATTTGCAACATTCTTTTACCTCATTTGAGTATGTGGGGTGGGTACTTGAAAGTGTTTTAAAAAAATATCTATTTCCAACTCCTATAATCAGTCTCTCCACTAATTTAGACTTGCCAGTTAGTCTAGAGCTGCACTGTTTTTTCTTTTTTAACATCTTTATTGGAGTATAATTGCTTTACAATGGTGTGTTAGTTTCTGCTTTATAACAAAGTGAATTAGCTATATGTATACATAAATCCCCATATCCCCTCTGTCTTGCATCTCCCTCCCACCCTCCCTATCCCACCTCTCTAGGTGGTCACAAAGCGCCGAGCTGATCTCCCTGTGCTATGCAGCTGCTTCCCACTAGCTATCTATTTTATGTTTGGTAGTGTATATATGTCCATGCAACTCTCTCACTTTGTCCCAGCTTACCCTTCCCCTCCCCGTATCCTCAAGTGCATTCTCTAGTAGGTCTGCATCTTTATCCCGTCTTGCCCCTAGGTTCTTACAATTTTCATTTTTTTCTTTTTCTTTTTTTTTAGATTCTATATATGTGTGTTAGCATACGGTATTTGTTTTTCTTTTTCTGACTTACTTCACTCTGTATGACAGTCTCTAGGTCCATCCACCTCACTACAAATAACTTAGTTTCTTTCCTTTTTATGGCTGAGTAATATTCCATTGTATATACGTGCCACATCTTTATCCATTCATCTGTCAATGGACACTTGGGTTGTAGAGCTGCACTTTTAAGAGAGTAGCCACCAGACACATGTGACTATTGAGCACTTGAAATGTGAGGGTATGAACTGAGTCCTATACGTGTGAAATATACACTAGATCTTGGATCTTGGACACTTGGTATGACAAAAGGTAAAATAGCTCATTAATTATTTTATATTATGTTGAAATGACAATATTTGGCATCTATTGGCTTAAGTAAAATATATTATTAAAATTAATTTCCCACCTGTTCCTTTTTTACATTTTAAAGTATGGCTACTAGAAAACTTAACATTGCAGTGGTGGCTTGGATTATATGCCTGTTGGATTGCAGCAGTCTGCTGGATGCAGAGACAGCATTGGGTACTTTGAAAGCATTGCTACAACTGGGTTTGCTTTGTGGAATAACAATATGATCCAAGGGGAGGAGGGCTGTGGATGAAGGTCATTTAGATTCAGCCATGGTGATAGTTATTCATCCCAGTCTCATCCAGATTTCCAACTTCTAAATGGCTGTTGTGCATCCAAAATAATAGTCAAATAATAATAGCCCCAATATAATAGTCCCAATAATAATTGGGAAGAAGTGCTTGTGATGGGTAGCAGTCCATCCAACAACAAACCATCCAGTAAGAGAGGTGTAGGGCTGCCAGGGGTGACTTAGATGTGGGACTTGCTGCCTTTCTTTTGAAGTTTTCCTCACTCTTAAGCTGCTTTGACCCATGTTTCAGTATCATTTCCTTTCTCTCCAAAAACATAAAATCTCCTTTATCTACTCCCTTTCGTGCTGTAATTTCTTAGCATTTCCTTGTCAGATTATGTCTCCCAGATCCATCCCTTTGTCTTACAGCCTCCAGTTCAGATTTTAACATAAGGAACACATATCTGTAATGATTATATTGCCATTACATTCTGTTTACCATCCTTCCTTACTGTACCTTTCAGAATCAAGTCTCTCACCTTTGTCTTTGGCCAAAGCCATCAAGTACATGCCAGCACCTCCTCCTGGCTCAGCGCGTTTTGTAGAGATGGGTAGGCAGGCAGGGCTGTTCGTGTACACCATGCCTACTACAACCAGCTGGGGTTGTTACAGGGGGATCTGTAAGAAACACTGGGAAGTCCCTTTAGTTAGCTTCTCTGTGCCTGCTTCTCTGCTTTCTTACAGACTTGTGATAGGAAAGATATAAGATTTCAGGTTGGAATTTCCAGTTGACGCTAGGTCTGGACCTGAAAGGAGAAACTGGGATCTAGAATGTTAACCTTTTGAGAAGAAAGGATATAGGGTGTTAGAGAGAGGGCTGGGCTTCCTATAACTCAAATTCTCTGGCTTTGCGTATCACTCACCCTTGGTACTTGTTCTTTAAAGGCGTAACAGAAAATGACTTTCTTTTTCTTTGAAGAATGTGGTGGGGGTATAGGCAGGCAAACACTTTGAGACCCCCTGGTAATGTCTGTGGACACATTCTATTGAGCAAAGGAGGGGAAATTGCTCTAACCCAGCTCTGACTCGGGCTCATGTCCCAAATTTGGGGTTAATTTGATTCCAAGAACATTCAAGCCAAGGTAGTCAATATATCATGGACTAGGTTCAATTTAACATAGTTGAACATACATTTATGTGGTAACTTCTGCATACTGCATTTTGTGTTAGATCCAGAGGATTCAAAAATGAAAAAGATACAATTCCTCTTTCCAAGGAGCTCACAGCCTAAGATTCAGGTGGAGTGGTGTTTGTGAGTTAATATGGGACAGCAGTTCAATTTTTTAATTACTTGTCAGTTCTCATTAAAATTTCTTTAAGTCTAAACCAGGAAGTCTTATTCATTGGCCTTCATGCCAAATTTTGTTGTGGTGTTGCTTTCTGGATAACTAGGAGTTTTGGTAAAGCTCAGAAATTAATGGCAAAGTTCATCGGGCATGAAAATCTGGGGTTGAGTGGTTTTATTATAACTATGAATTATAGAAGGAAGATGCATCCAACTCTCTCTTCCCTCAAACATCAGGGACCATCTGTGAGTTCTCAATGAACTAAGTCTCTAAACTCAGCAAAGCAGGGATTGATACCTCTATGCCCCGCACCCAACCTTCTTTTGGGTAAATTGACACTATACTGGGAGATTTGAAGACATCTGTTAAGTACCCAGGAAGGGCCCGGTCAAGATATTTTTAAAAGCCAACCACTACCACTTAATTAGCTGCTTTATTTGGCAATTCCCAGATTTTGCTTCTCTTATTTTCTTTCTTTCTTGTTTTTTTATCCTAGCAAAAATACAAGGAAGACTATGAAAATAAAATCAAAGGCAAATGGAGTGAGACACCTTGCTTTGAAGTTGCAACCGCCAGAATGAATGCTAATAACATCAGCACGGTAAGTAGGAATGGATTGCCAGATGTCCTTGGGTTGAGAGGGTGACCCTTTCCTGTATGACTTCTAGCCACCTGCTGCTCCTGCAATGGTACTGGAACATTTGAATCTGGGCACCTCTTCTTGGGGGTAAGACCTGTGTAGTGTTCCTATTTAGAAGGAAATTCCACAATCTTTCCTTCCTTTTGAGAAATGCTGTTTTTATTGGATTCCATTATTCTTGCCTCGGTTTTCATAGGAACAATATGGTTTCAAAGTGAGTACAGGTGAAAGGGGCCCTTTTAAGTTTATTCTGTGTCTGGGCACTCGAACGGTACATTTATGAAACTGATTAGTTTCTTCCTAGATTCTCCTCCCTGGAAAACATAAGTCCCCTTTTTCTCTTCTCTTAAGTTCTCTGCCTCTGGCCTTTGAGAGCTCCTTATTTGAAGTTGTCTTTCAGCCTATTATAATTTTCCCAAGTCTCTGTTAAGTTGCTAATGGTTTTTGTGATGGCACCACATTCTATAATTGTAATCTGACCTGCAGAAGCTAAGAGGAGCATGGCTTTGGGTAACATCTCCAAATGGCCTCTGTCCTCGCGTATAAAATATTTATGTAGTTTGTTGCCTCAGCAGTTCTCCAGCATGTTTAATGTCTTACAGAGGAAATACCAGGAAGACTTTGAGAATATGAAAGACCAGATCTACTTCATGCAGACTGAAACACCAGAGTACAAAATGAATAAACAAGCTGGGGTGGCAACTAGCAAGGTATGGGGACATTCTCTCTTTTATCTTGATGGTCTCAGTGTGGCTGAATTTCTTACAACTCTTACTTTTGTATATAATGGGAAAAAAAGGTTCTTAGGGGAACAATAAGAAAAATACTTTGGGATTACAATAGGGCTACCAAATTTTTTTTTAAAAAATTGCCATGTAGGAGAATTCACAATACTCAATTACCATCTTCAGCATTTCTTAGACTAAAGGACGTTCTGATACCCAGAAGTAGAAAGGACAAAAGAATTTCTCAAGAAAAAGCAACTGGCAGCCTTATATGCATATAGACACTTCACACTTACAACTACCATCATTTTTCTATTTTCCTACTAACTGGTGAAAATATAGTCACAGACAAGATACTTGAATCCATGGATCTGCTCATATACTCTATAGCGTGACTTTGGTAAATAGTCTACTCCTAGGCATTCTAAAGCACTAGAAAGAGCAATATGTTCAAAGCCAATCAGACTTGATTCTAACCCTGGTGCTGGCTCTGCTGGAGCAGTGAAAGCAGAAAAATCACATCACTTAGGAGGCTATTTCAGTATCCAGGTGCAAGACAGTGATATTTTGGACCAGGAGGGTAGCACAGAAAGTGATGAGAAGTATTTTGAAAGTAAAGCTGACCTGATTTGCTGATGGGTTGGATGTGGGATATGAGAGAAAAGCTTTGGTCTAAGCAACTAGGTGGATGAGGTTTCCCTTTGTCAAGATAGGGAAGATGGTGGAAGGAGTAGGTAATTTCTTTTTAGAGGGGAGACCTGAGCTCTTCAGATATGTAAAATTTGAGATGCCTTTGAGACACCTAAGTGGAAATGTCAAGTGGGCATTTGATTACATGGGTCTGAAGTTTCAGGAGAGATATCTGGGAAGGCTGTATAAATTTGGGCATCAGTAGCATATGGACTGTATTTAATGTCATAAGACTGGAGGCCATCAAGGGAGTAAGTGTAGACAGAAAACTCTAAGGACAACTCTGGAGTGCTTCCATGTGAAGACATCAGTGAGATGGGATTGGAGCAAAATTAGGAGAAAGTGATGTCTTGGGAAGCAGGTGAAGAAGGAAGGGAGTGAGCAACTGTGTCAAATGTTTCTGAAGTGGATTTATCAATGTATGGTCTCTGGTGAACTTAATAAGAGCAATTTGGTTGAATCTGCTTAGAGAGGGTTCGTGAGTGAATGAAAAGAGAGACATAGGATATGAGTGTACTCCACTCTTCCAAAGTATTTTCCTGAAAAGAAAAGAAGAAAAAGGGGTAGTAGCTGATGGATAAGTAGGTGAAGAGGGGATTTTTTTTAGGTAGGAGACAAAAATACCATGTTTCTATGCTGACAGAAGAAAAATCCAGTGTAGTGGGAAAATGTGATGATGTTGAGGGCCAGGGGAAGAAAGTGGCTGGAGTGTTGTCCTAGAATAGGGGAAAGGGGAAGGGACCTGGCACTTAAGAGGAGGGGATGGCTTCCCCAGAAACAGGAGAGGAGGTTGCGAATCCAAGATGCAGATAGGCGGATAGTAGGGTTTGTGAAATTTCCTTTCTGGTTGTTTCCATTGTTCAAGGAAATAGATAATTCTATAAGATAGAGAGGTTATCTATATCCTCCACTCCTGTAGAACACCCCCTGCGAGTCCCCTGTTTGGGCTCTAGGGGGTGATGCATCTGTGTTTCAGAGTGTATCTCCTGCCTTTGGATACCAAGATGATTGTATTTGTTTCTGAGGTTCTTAAATGTTGGCAGATTATCTAGGATTCCCTCAACTTGTCTATATTCTCACATTACATTGCTTGAACAAATAGCTGGCACTGGAGATCATGGTCAAGGTTAGGACCAGTTTCTTGTTTTCTTTCCTTTGGACATGCGCCTGAAGGGGGCTTTTGGGCCCTCACTTAAAGCTTCTGTCATAGCTGGAATTGAAGGTGCAAAGCAGGGGGGTGCAGAAGGAGAAGATGAGGTTGCCAGCATTCATCTAGCCCCAGCCCCTTCCTCTTCCTCCCGCGTGTACATTAAATACACATGTGCTCACACACACAGTCACGGATGAGGCATGAAGCTTCTAGCTTTTTTCTTTAAAAATGTGTTGGCACATAGGCAGGTGGAGGTTAAGAGATGAATGAGGGTTCTGGAGCAGCAGGTATCTGGGGCATGATGTACTGTCGTTATTATGATGTGCATCTTTCTTTTATTATTTCTCTCCCCCTGCCCCCCACCTTCCCTCCCTCTCTCTCTGAGGTCAGGGACCATGTGTTACTCTTTCTTGTATCTGTCCCAGGGCCAGGAACGTAATCAATGCCCTATGGATATTTTTGAATGAATAAATGAATGAGAAGAAAAGATATCCTGAAAATGTATGCAGTTTCCCTGCTGCTGTCATAAGTTACTATGAATATTTTGTTTATGAAATGTCAAGCTGCCATTTTTCTAAAGAGAAAATCGATTTGTGGAGCTGTGTCATAATATCTGTAATAGAGACGAGAGCAAAAATAACCTGGAGAGTTACTTTATCACTTTATTTCACTCCTACAGGTAAAATACAAAGAAGACTATGAAAAGAATAAAGGAAAAGCAGATTATAATGTACTTCCTGCTTCAGAAAACCCACTGCTTAGGCAGCTGAAGGCGGCAGGAGTTGCCCTAAGCGATGTAAGTATATTCTTGTCAAAAGTGTGTTTTTAACCTTAGCAGCAAGAGAGATGAAACTTCTCGCCTTCTATAATGAATAAATGCAAATAGAACTTTACAAATACTTTAAGGTTATGGTGTAACAGTTTCCCTGGAGCTGTCTAACCACAGGAAGGCATTAGTGCCTCTGAGTATGATGTGTGTCAATTTGGGGAGCCTGTGGACTTAGTTCAGCGGGCAGGGAAATCCTCATTTGCTTATAAGCTCCAGGAGCCTATGCCTTTGTGTGGGCAAAGAGTACATTGTAGGAGTTACGTTGTGATTCTGACAGAGGCAGAAGGAGACTTTGAAAGGGGAGGAGAGAAAGACGAAGCCACTTAGTGCCCTACCCTTGTGCGCTTCCAGCCTGCTGCTAGGAGAAGAAGGAAAAGGTCCTGTGTTTCACAACTTCTCTCCCCAGACTCTGCCATTTTCTACTCAGGTCTTGGCCCCAGAAACCATCATCTGCAGACAGCAGAACTTAAAAGATGGCTCCCTAAGCCTTCAGAGCAATTTCTACATGTGGAATATTAAGAGCTTGTCTAATCCATTAGGTTTCAAATAGATTAGATAAGTGAGAACTGGGCCTGGCATTAAAAGACTAACAGCCCAAGGCCACTTTGATTATATATCAATATATAAAGAGACTGAACATAAGATCAGTTGAGTTTTTCCCTTTTGGTTAGGCAGTATTAAGTTTTCCAGTATTTGAGGATTATATGTAGCTCTCTGTGTGAGTTAGTTGTCTTTTCTTTGTGCCTTGAATTAAGTCAGCACCACAGAAATGTGTACATGTGACTGAGGAGTGGGGCGAGTGGAGTGGCAGATGAGAGGATGTAAATGGATCTGTTCAAATAGCTCTACTGGGAAATCACTGCAAAGCACATCGCCTGCTTACTAAATGAAGGTCATCTTTATCAAACGTATAAGAACTGAAGTTCAAATCCATTTTGTTGAAAAAGACAGCAATATAAAAATATTGAAAATGAATAGCACTATTTACAATTTCAAAACCGAACATGAAAAAATCATGTTGTGCACTGTAAAATCCAGTAACTTTTAGAGCTAAAGATAAATCCTAGCAGAGAAGAGGAGTTAGTAGACTCTTGTATATACCTTATTTTTAAGGTGTACTGTCTGTTCGTATGATAAGGGATTTTTTTCCTTGGTGGAAAGAGGAAGAGTGCGTATTTCTCTGTGTGCTAGACTTTTTCCATGAAGGTTTGTTTAAAAAAAATGAGAAATTTGCTGTTGCTCAGAGTATTCCTGTTTATTGGGGCATCACTAGTGAGGGAAGAGTATTGAGTTGGGAGGTCTAAAAGGCAGCAATTCAGATATGCAAGAACCTCTACAACTAAGGTCTTGGTCTGAGGCAGTATAGTGGTTTCTTAATTTTTTGGAGAATATTAAAAACTTAGGCTTTACAATAATAGCTAATAGAAAAGGTTTATCATTTATGACACGCCAATGTTTGATTGTCAGTTTTTAGACGGTTGACAGGTAATATCTTTTTTCTTCTTCCTTTGTTTAGTGTTGGAAAATACAAGTGTAATAATCAGGGTGGGAGTGACAGGAATCTACTGTAACTGATTATTTTTTCTTTGACAGAAACTGTACAAGGAAAACTATGAAAAGACAAAGGCAAAGAGCATAAATTACTGTGAGACCCCCAAATTTAAGCTTGATACAGTTCTGCAGAACTTCAGTAGTGATGTAAGCCACCCCATGGTCATTTCCTCTGTTAAATCAAAGACCCATCACTTTGCCAATAAACAAATGAAATATGTTTTGTCTTTCAGACTAAATATAAAGATTCCTACTTAAAGAATATTTTGGGACATTATGTAGGCAGCTTTGAGGATCCATATCATACACACTGCATGAAAGTCTCAGCTCAGAACAGTGATGTAAGTTCTAAGGCAATTGTTTGACTTCCCAAATAACACATTTTTCGGGCATGAATACACTGGTTGCATCCTTATGTCTGATCTCTTTTCCTCATAGAAAAACTACAAAGCAGAATATGAAGAGGACAGAGGCAAAGGCTTCTTCCCCCAGACCATAACTCAAGAATATGAAGCAATCAAGAAACTAGATAAGTGTAAAGATGTAAGTCTGTAGTATAAACTGTGAATGTTACCACCCTCCACAATATCTAGTGATCAAGATGTGTTTAATATTTTGACACTTTTGCAAACAAATGCAAGCAAGGAGTCTGTAAGAAACACAATTTATTTTTCCCTGTTGTCACCCACGTGTCTCAAGCGCTAATTCTAGCTCATTTTCCCAAAGAAAAGTAATCAGGAATCTGTAGATATGGGAAAGTTTCCTATATAGATGTAAGAGCATCTCTCAAAGAAACTGCAGTCTAATTAGAAAAAATGCATTTTGCTTACTGAAAGTTTCTTTTCTTTTGGGGGATGGGGTTCTGCTTGCTTGGCCTATAGGCCAACTCGGATTTGACAAGTGATACTACTAAACGTGATTCTCTTTCCCCCACAGTACACCTACAAAGTCCACCCAGATAAGACAAAATTCACTCAGGTCACCGACTCTCCTGTTCTGGTGCAAGCCCAAGTCAATTCCAAACAGCTGAGTGATGTAAGTTCCCCTAAATATCCAAGAAATCCAGTTATGAGGGATAGCATATCATAACTCTATACGTGAAATCCAGTGACTTGTCACATTTATAAAAAAGGCTACGTAACTTCTAACAAGTTTAACTTGTATATATTTGTAATCACCTAAAATACTTTCCTATTTAGTTACCTTACATCTTCTTGGGTGGATAACAATTATAGTAAAAGAGCTCTGCAAGGGAAACTAACGTAGCTTAATGCACTGGAAAGAACATGAGTTTCTGAGTCAGAGAGAACAGGATTCAAATTCCAGCTCTGTCATTTATGACCTGGGGCCTAGGAAAGTTGTTTAACCTCTCCATACCTCATAGTTCCCTTTGATAATTTGTGGTGGTTTTGAAGATTGTGAAAGAAGATACGCGCATAGTACACATCCTGGCCCAGAGCGGGTATTCAGTACATGGGATTTCTCTGTCTCTCAAATAAGTTTTTAGGAAATGGAGTCTTTGAGATACATTTTATCATTTAAATTTTCAGTGTGAATTTCCAAACTTGTGTTGAAATAAAAAAATGAAAAATAAAAGTAACCTCAGTAGATTATGGCCAGAAATGAAGGCTTCAGTTAGAGTATCCACAAACCATAATGCATGTGAGGGGACATAACCAGATTTGTTAGAAAAGATTTTCCAGTGATTGAGCGTTGACAGCAGAAAGGAAGAAAGGCTGTCACTCTCAGAACCTACAGGACCAATTGTGATATATAAAGAGGGGAGCTCCCACGTATGAAAGTGCCACCTCTTTCCATTAGGGCCCTACCATGGTGACAGATATGATAACAGCTGTCAACTATCCTCCACGCAGTGTCAGTAAGGCAGAGTGGCCCACCCTAGATCTGGATTTCTCTTTTTTTTTTTTTAATATCTTTATTGGGGTATAATTGCTTTACAATGGTGTGTTAGTTTCTGCTTTATAACAAAGTGAATCAGTTATACATATACATATGTTCCCATATCACTTCCCTCTTGCGTCTCCCTCCCACCCTCCCTATCCCACCCCTCCAGGTGGATTTCTCTTTTGATCGTAACGACTCTGTCAGTTGTTATTTAACAAAATGTATTTTACATTTTATCTCATGAAATGTACCACCCAATATTTTTTTTTCTTTTGTATTTTGGGACAATCTTCTTCTGAATTGAGAACTAAATGGCTCATTTTCTCTCTCTCTCTTGCTCTCAGCTAAATTACAAAGCAAAACATGAAAACGAAAAGTTCAAGTGCCATATACCTCCAGATACTCCTGCCTTTATCCAGCACAAAGTCAACGCCTATAACCTGAGTGATGTGAGTTCCTCGTGCACTATGCCATGTGTTATACTGACAACTATGCTTTTATTTTTGAATTGCCTCATTGAATAAATATTTCAATGTTAAAGATGGGAATAACAGTTAACATTTGTATTGTGTCCCTGTGCCTCTGCCAGGGTAACTTTAAACTCACCTTATAAAATGTGTGTAGCGATCTTATAAGTAGCTTTATACAATGAGACGATCTTAATATATTTTAACCAACCCTCAAAATACCACTGTTCATGTATGTTTAATTGCAAATCTTAATGTAAGCTCTTTTAGCCATATATCCTTTTATACTATACTATAATTTTCTTTCAGGACCTCATATTTTAAGATACAGTTTCATTTTGTTTACTCCCCAGGCATGTAAAGTCCCTTATTTCACACAAATGATACTTATTTCTACATGTAAGAGAACTTGCACTAACAAAGATATAGGGTATTCAAAAGGCATAAGGCCAGGTATCCATTGCTATCTTTCATTTCCAAACTAAATAATTTTATAGAAAAGTCAAATTACCCTTGAGGGTTTCAATTTCTTCAACAATTCTTTAAATAAGTACTAAAATTATCCAGCATCAATGAGTATTGCAATGATTCGTGAAATAACCTTTCCAGAGGACTTTGAGATCAAATGAAAATGGTGCCTTTATATAATACAAAGTAAGTTAACTATAGAATATTTGTGCCACTCTATAAAATATACAGTGTTAGGAATCAAATATTAGTATGATAACTAGAATGAAGTTAATATAATACAATATTCTCATGGAGAGTAGAGAAACTTAATCTTAGAGAATTGGAAGATTCATCTTGAGGAGAATTATCTAAAATATGCACAATTTCTTAAACAAAGAAAATGGTCTTTTTATATTAAGACAAGGTATTGGGTTACCCTCTAGTCTTTAAAGTGTGATAACATGCATATTACTTTTGCCCATTCCTCTGCTGAAATTTTTCTGTCCAGAATGCTTATAAGTATGACTGGGAGAAGACCAAAGCTAAGAAGTTTGACATTAAGGTGGATGCCATTCCCCTGCTGGCAGCCAAAGCCAATACCAGGAACTCTAGCGATGTGAGTATGGCCTGGGCACCTGGACAGGGGGGGCCTCAGCGATCTTCCTGATGAGTGAGATCTGGCACGTGTGATGTCTTTGCAGGTGATGTACAAGAAAGACTATGAGAAAAGCAAAGGAAAGATGATTGGAGCCCTCAGCATTAACGATGATCCCAAGATGCTGCACTCTTTGAAGACGGCCAAAAACCAGAGTGATGTGAGTGCTTTTGTGAATCTGTCTTGTTTTCAAGATTGTGTCCCAGTCAACATGCCCAAGGGTAATGGTGTAAAAAGATTCCATATCCATGGGCTCTCTCAGGTTCACAACAATGAACTGCTGAGGACAACTTTAGAAGTACAATGATTCCCCAGACTCTTGCACCTCTCATGTTTGAGGAGAGAAATTAATGATTTGTACTTGATCTTCATTTCACTTTGAAAAAAACCTGTATTCATATTTAGTAGAATATTGATTGTAATTCTCAACACCTTTTGGAAAACATTAAGATGTTTTCATGTTTTCTAATTCAAAAGTAACTTAAAATTGTGGTTTAAAAAGTGACTTTATTTTGGAAGAAAATCATGAGTCAGAGATAAAAATCTTAGTATAGCTAACATTGCTCTTTACTGACTTTAGTAATTAGTATTGGCCTAGGTCTAAGATTCCATTAATTATAGGCCCCGTTGAGAATCTGATAAAAGATCTGGTCCATCTCTTTAGGGAAATGGAGTTTTTTTCACATCTCTTGCCTGACTTTCATAGAGAATTCATGGATTCCCTAAGGATAGCCTTTAGGATATCTATCATCTTCCAGTTAAAATTCTTACCATAGAGAGGCAAACATATACTATTGAAAATTGCAATATACACTGTGTTTTAAAATGTTTGGAGAATCCCTTAAAAGTGGTAAGAATGTTCAACATAGCTTGCAAATATTAGCTTTTCATGGTGAAAGAGAAGGGTGTGTGTATCATTTAGCTTCATTTTAACCATGTGTTCATATTGTGAGCTATTAAACCTTCTTTAAATCATTTCACATTTACTATATAGTCATATAGCACTTTAAACGTCTTATTCAGTTATTTTCTCTAGTAAATTCACACTGAATTAGATACAGTGTGATTATATACAGTCAGTATACAGTGCTCACATACATAATACTATCTTCTTCACCAGTTCCTTATTTTGTCTCAACTCAAGAAAGTTATAGCTCCCATTGACAGCACGTGTATGTTTATCTTTGGTTTTTACCCTACCACAGAACCCATTAGAACACTAAGTTATTAAGTGCATAATAAGTGTTCAATAAGTACTTGTTAATTGATTCATGTTGGCAACCAAAAGAGATAGTCAATGATGAGTCATTCTCAAATAATATTCAGGCTAAAATCTAAGCTGCAGATACAGAGCACACATCGCTTTTAAAAAGAGTCTTTTAAAGCCATTTGGGACTAAACAACATGCCACTAAAAAAACAGTGAGTCAGGCTTCCCTGATGGCACAGTGGTTGAGGGTCCGCCTGCCAATGCAGGGGACACGGGTTCATGACCCGGTCCGGGAGGATCCCACATGCCGCGGAGTGGCTAGGACCGTGAGCCATGGCTGCTGAGCCTGCGCATCCGGAGCCTATGCTCTGCAATGGGAGAGGCCACAACAGTGAGAAGGCTGCATACTGCAAAAAAAAAAAAAAAAAAAAAAAACAAAAAAAACAAAAAACCAGTGAGTCAATGAAGGAATCAAAGAGGAAATCAGAAAATACCTCAAGACAAATGAAAATGGAAACAACACTCCAAAATCTATGGAATACAGCAAAAGAAGTTTGAAGAGGGAAGTTTATAGCGATATAGGCCTTCCTCAAGAACAAGACAAATCTCAAATAAATAACCCAATCTACCACCTAAAGGAATTGGAAAAAGAAGAACAAGCAAAACCCAAAGTCAGCAGAAGGAAGAAAATCGTAAAGATAAGAGAGGAAATAAATAAAATGAAAATTTAATAAAACAATAGAAAAGATCAATGAAACCAAGAGCTGTTATTTTGAAAAGAGAAAAAAACTGATAAAGCCAAGATCACCAAGAAGAAAAGAGAGGACCCAAATAAATAAAATAAGAAATGAAAGGGACAAATAACAACCAATACCACAGAGATACAAAAATTATAATACTATGAACAGTTATAAGCCAACAAATTGGACAACCTAGAAGAAATGGACAAATTTCTAGAAACATACAACTTGCCAAAACTGAATCAAGAAGAAACAGATATTTGAACAGACCAATCGCTAGTACTGAAATTGAATTTGCATTAAAAAAAAATGCAAGCAAACAAAAATCTAGGACCAGACGGCTTCACAGGTGAATTCTACCAAACATATAAAAAAGAACTAATACCTATCCTTCTCAAACTATTCCAAAAAATTGAAGAAGATGGAACACTCCCAAGTTCATTCTGTGAGGCCACAATTACCCTAATATCAAAACCAGGAGAAGATACTAGAAAAAAATTACAGACCAATATCTTTAAGTATAGATGCAAAACTCCTCAACAAAATATTAGCAAACTGAATCCAACAGTATATAAAAAGGATCATATACCATAATTGAGTTGGATTTATTCCAGGGAGGCAGGATGGTTCAATATTTGCAAATCAGTGTGATTCACCACATTAACAAAAGGAAGGATAAAGATCACATGACCATCTCAACAGATGTAGAAAAAGCATTTGACAAAATTCAATATCCATTCATGATAAAAACTCATCAAAGTGGGTATAGAGGGAACATATCTCAACAAATAAAAGCCATTTATGACAAACCCACAGCTAACATCACACTCAGTGATGAAAAGCTGAAAACCTTCCCTCTAAATTCAGGAACAAGCAAGGATGCCCACTCTTTCCACGTCTATTTAACATAGTATTGGGAGTCCTGGCCACAGCAATCAGAAAAAATAAATTAATTTAAAAAATAATAAAAAGCATCCATATTGGAAGGGAAGAAGTAAAATTGTCACTATTTGTAGATGACATGATACTTTATATAGAAAACCCTAAAGTCTGCACCCAAAAACAATCAGAACTAATAAATGAATTTAGTAAAGTTTAAGGATACAAGATTAATATACAGAAATCTGTTGCTTTTCTATACACTAATAATGAACTATCAGAAAATTTTAAAAAAGCCACATTTAAAATTGCATCAAAAAGAATAGGAATAAATTTTTTTAAATTCAAACAGAAAGTCACAAAAATTATAATCATCCTCATCAGTTCACTCAGTCCCATGTCATTAATTTTTTTTCATCTTGATCTTTTGTTAGCACTTTTATGAATACATCAGTTTTCCATTAGAGTTCTGAAAATGCTTATTCATTCAGTTCAGCAGTGTAGTCAGTTACCAGAAACCTGTACTTGTCAGAGTCTTTTCCATGAATTCCTTGAAGATGAAATCCTTTTATAGGAACATTTTTGCAAAAGCACCAGAGTATACCCAGAACTGTCTGTAAATGACAAAAGACTTAAAAATGACCATGGTTAAAGATTTGATGAAAGTTCATAATAATACAATTAACAAGGAAATTTAGTTATTTCTGAGTTATACATTTTAAAGTAATAACTAGAATTATGACTTATAACATTATACCAGAACATACAAGATTTTTAGAAATTTCATGTAATGTCTGAAACATTTATATTAACATATTTCCATACAAATAACCCAAAGAAAGTTTAGTATTAGTTGTTTTTTGTTTGTTTGTTTGTTTATACTGCAGGTTCTTATTAGTCATCAATTTTATACACATCAGTGTATACATGTCAATCCCAATCACCCAATTCAGCACACCACCATCCCCACCCCACCATGGTTTTCCCCCCTTGGTGTCCATACATTTGTTCTCTACATCTGTGTCTCAACTTCTGCCCTGCAAACCGGTTCATCTGTACCATTTTTCTAGGTTCCATATACATGCATTAATACACGATATTTGTTTTTCTCTTTCTGACTTACTTCACTCTGTATGATAGTCTCTAGATCCATCCACATCTCAACAAATGACTCAATTTTGTTCCTTTTTATGGCTGAGTAATATTCCTTTGTATATATGTACTACATCTTTATCCATTCGTCTGTTGATGGGCATTTAGTTTGCTTCCATGACCTGGCTATTGTAAATAGTGCTGCAATGAACATTGGGGTGTACGTGTCTTTTTGAATTATGGTTTTCTCTGGGTATATGCCCAGTAGTGAGATTGATGGATCATATGGTAATTCTATTTTTAGTTTTTAAGGAACCTCTATACTGTTCTCCATAGTGGCTGTATCAATTTACATTCCCACCAGCAGTGCAAGAGGGTTCCCTTTTCTCCACACCCTCTCCGGCATTTGTTGTTTGTACATTTTCTGATGATGCCCATTCTAACTGGTGTGAGGTGATACCTCATTGTAGTTTTGATTTGCATTTTTCTAATAATTAGTGGTGTTGAGCAGCTTTTCATGTGTTTCTTGGCCATCTGTATGTCTTCTTTGGAGAAATGTCTATTTAGGTCTTCTGCCCATTTTTGGATTGGGTTGTTTGTTTCTTTAATATTGAGCTGCATGAGCTGTTTATATATTTTGGAGATTAATTCTTTGTTGATTCGTTTGCAAATATTTTCTCCCACTCTGAGGGTTGTCTTTTCGTCTTGTTTATGGTTTCCTTTGCTTTGCAAAAGCTTTGGAGTTTCATTAGATCCCATTTGTTTATTTTTGTTTTTATTTCCATTACCTTAAAAGGTGGATCAAAAAAGATCTTGCTGTGATTTATGTCAAAGAGTGTTCTTCCTATGTTTTCCTCTAAGAGTTTTATAGTGTCCAGTCTTACATTTAGGTCTCAAATCCATTTTGAGTTCATTTTTGTGTATGGTGTTAGGGAGTGTTCTAATTTCATTCTTTTACATGTAGCTGTCCAGTTTTCCCAGCACCACTTATTGAAGAGACTGTCTTTTCTCCATTGTATATCTTTGCCTCCTTTGTCATAGATTAGTTGACCATAGGTGCATGGGTTTATCTCTGGGCTTTCTATCTTGTTCCATTGATCTATGTTTCTGCTTTTGTGCCAGTACCATATTGCCTTGATTACTGTAGCTTTGTAGTATAGTCTGAAGTCAGGGAGTCTGATTCCTCCAGCTCTGTTTTTTTCCCTCAAGACTGCTTTGGCTATTCGGGGTCTTTTGTGTCTCCATACAAATTTTAAGATGATTTGCTCTAGCTCTGTAAAAAATGCCATAGGTAATTTGATAGGGATTGCATTGAATCTGTAGATTGCTTTGGGTAGTATAGTCATTTTCACAATATTTGTTCTTCCAATCCAAGAACATGGTATATCTCTCCATCTGTTGGTACCATCTTTAATTTCTTTCATCAGTGTCTTATAGTTTTCTGCATACAGGCCTTTTGTCTCCCTAGGTCGGTTTATTCCTAGGTATTTTATTCTTTTTGTTGCAGTGGTAAATGGGAGTGTAAAATAGGAATAAATTTAACAAAGGGGGTAAAATACCAGTACTCTGAAAACTATAAGACATTGATGAAGAAAATTGAAGGTGATACAAAACAATGGAAAGATATCCCATTCTTATGGATTAGAAGAATTAATGTTGTTAAAATGCCCATACAACCCAAAGAAATCTACAGATGTTATGCAATCCATATCAAAATACCCATAACATTTTTCACAGAACTAGAACAAATAATTCTAAAACTTATATGGAACCACAGTAGATCCTGAATAGCCAAACCAATCTTGAAAGAACAAAGCTGGAGGTATTATGCTTCCAAACTTCAGACTGTATTACAAAGCTACAGAAATCAATACAGCATGGTCCTGTACAAAATCAGACACAGAGATCAGTGGAACAGAATAGAGAGCCCAGAAATAAACTCACGCACCTATGGTCAATTAAACTATGACAAAGGAGGCAAGAATATACAATGGAGAAAAGACAGTGTCTTCAATAAGTGGTGCTGGGAAAACTGGACAGCTACATGTAAAAGAATGAAATAGAACATATTTGCAAATGATATGGCCAAGAAGGGGTTAACATCCAGACTATATAAATGGCTCGTGCAGCTCAGTATCAGGAAAGCAAACAATCAAAAAAAAAAACAAAAAAGAAAATGGGCAGAAGACTTGAATAGACATTTTTCCGAAGAAGGCATACAGGTGGCTGACAGTCTCATGAAAAGATGCTCAGCATTGCTAATTATTAGAGAAATACAAATCAAAACAACAATGAGATATCACCTCATACCTGTCAGAATGGCTATCATCCAAAAGTCTACCAATAGCAAATGTTGGCAAGGATGTAGAGAAAAGGGAACCCTCCTACACTGTTGGTGGGTGTGTAAATTGGTGCAGCCACTATGGAAAACAGTATGGAGGTTCCTTAAAAAACTAAAAATAGAGCTACCATATGATCCAGTAGTTCCACTCCTGGGCATATATCCAGAAAAGACAAAAACACTAGTTCAAAAAGATACATGTACCCCAGTATTCATAGCAGCATTATTTACAATAGCCAAGATATGGAAGCAACCTAAGCATCCATCAACAGATAAATGGATAAAGAATATGTGGTATATATATACAATCGAGTATCACTCAGCCATAAAGGAGTGAAATTCTGCCATTTGCAGCAGTGTGGATGTACCTAGAGAATATTATGCTTGTAAAATAAGTCAGACGGAGAGAGACAAGTACTGTATGATATGTGGAATCTAAAAAATAAAACAAATGAACATATATAACAGAACAGAGACAGACACAGATATAGAAACAAACTTGAATTGATAGTTACCAGTAGGGAGAGGGAAGGAGAGAGAGGCAAGATAGGGGTATGGGATTAAGAGACACAAACTGTTATGCATAAAATAGATAAGCAATTAGGTTATATTGTACAGCACAGGGAATTATAGCCATTATCTTGTAATAACTTTTAATGGAGCATAATCTGTAAAAACACTGAATTACTGTGCTGTCTACCTGAAACTAATATTGTAAATCAACTATACTTCAATAAAAAAATAAATCAGTAGGGAATTCCCTGGTGGTCCAGTGGTTAAGACTCTGCGCTTCCACTGCAGGGGGGCACAGGTTCCATCTCTGGCTGGGGAACTGGGATCCCACAGGCCACACGGTGGGACCAAATAAATTAATAGATAAAAATAAAAATAAAGCCATTTGGAGCTTTGACAACCTTTTATATGTGCAGCATGTGTGAACTTATCTGAACTTGAACAAAAGGGTCAAAACAATTTAGTCAAAAACACTTCCACACACCAACTGCTATTGCAACATTGCTTTATCCGTTTATTTCTAATAAAGACAAACTGTCTTTATTTTTTTCAGTGTTCTTGCATGCCATCATAAAGTTTCCATATTTTATTTTCATAAACCAGGGCCTAGATTTTACAATTAAGAGAGGAATTTATTCTGTGAAACTGACTACCCACGATGTTTTAGAAGGAAGACTATATTCCCTAAGAAAGTTAAAAGATTGGATTATTTGTAAAAGGAATTTCTGCAGGAGATTTATAATGCACATCTATACTTGCTAGCTTGGATCACTGTCTTTAGAGCTTATGTGATTATAGGGAGATATAATAGGTTTAGAATCTTCCTAAAGGAAAAATTCTGGGTCAGAATTTTTCTCTCTTTTAAGGTAATTGGTGAGCAGACGTGATGAACCTGGGACTTTGACCTAATTAACACCCTGTCTAACCATTCCAGAAAACCAACCGATGAAAGTGCCTTCTGAGGCCAGTCAGGACATTTGGTTTATGAGAACACTGTACATAAGGGCCAAGGTTACTTCAGTGGGTCACTTTCATAAATTTTTCTCCTTTGAGGTCTTATAACTGCTGAAATCTGAAACTTCTTTTAAATTGTTACCAAAATTAAACTTAGTATGGAAAAACCTCTGGGGTTCTCAGTGGGGCTTATCTGTTGTTCAAAGTAGAATAGTCAGGTTGAAAAATCAGTAACTATTCACTTAAAGATGACTTTAGAAAAGTCAAGAAGTCAAGTGTACAGCTCTGTTTATGAAGTAGTCATTTTATAAAATCAGAAGTATGAAATGATTGTCAAATGATTTTTGACAATTTAAAAAATACTTCTTTAATGGAAGACTCTTCCAAGGTTAGATTACCTTAGCAGAAATCATGCTTGCTAGTGGTCCTTGAAAAACCCTGTTTTAAAATAAAATAATAGCTGGCTGAATCAGAAGCTGTGGCCCATTCCTACTGTCTGACAGTTCCTCTTTGACCTAAACAAAGATTTGAGAAGATCTGTCCATGCATCTGCCCATGATTTTGGGAGGGGCGGTTTCAATGATGTGAAACATATGATCAAATTTTAGGAAAAAATAACGAACTAGAAGGAAAAAATCTCTATCTTGTATTTGTTGTTTATGAGAGATCTCTGTGCTTTTCTGGAAATCCATTGAAGATTTGTGCTAATAAATGGTAATTTCCTCTTCACAGCATGAATATCGTAAAAACTATGAAAAGTCAAAAACTATCTACACGGCACCTCTTGATATGCTCCAAGTGACTCAAGCTAAGAAATCTCAGGCAATTGCCAGTGATGTCGACTATAAGCACCTCTTACACAATTACAGCTACCCGCCGGACAGCATTCACATGGACCTTGCCAAGAAGGCTTATGCACTGCAGAGTGATGTGAGTAACCAGATTTTCTCTATTCCCTCTTTTTAAGGTAGAAACTGAAAAGGATTTCTAAGTTGAGTGATTTTTTGGCAATTCTCAGAAGTATCTGCATTGTCTTCTGTATGTAGCAAGTATGTAATGGGAAAATGATCCTTGGGATTCTATGAGAGCACACCCCTCAGAGTTAGAGAGGCCTGGGTCTGGCAAAAGCACCCCATCACAGTTTCCTTTTGGGAAAGTGATCAACCTTGCTGAGTTTAGAGTCCTCCTGCAAAATTGGAATAATACAAAAGAATTGTTTTCATTATTTAGATGCATTCAAAATACTCTTAGCATGGTGCTGGGCCCTGGTGAATTCTCAGTAAACATTCACTATTATCATCATCACCATTATCATAATTATCACATTCATCATTATCAATAATTTTTTGTATAGATTGCTATCTTGTCTGAAAATAGAATATATTATTTATAGCATTACTTTTTATAATAGCTGGGTTTTTTTCCTGCAGATCAAAACTTCTTTAGGCAAATTAATTTGTCTGAGCTATACAATTGAATACTTTATCCTAACAATTCTATTTTTTTAATGGTAAAATAGACATAACATAATATTTGCCATCTTTACCAGTTTTGATTGTACAGTTCAGCAGCAGTTACATTCCCATTGTTGTGCAACCAATCTCCAGAACTTTTTCGTCTTGCAAAAATGCATCTCTCTGCACATTAAACAGCTCCCCATTTCCTCTTCCCCTCAGTCCCTGTCAACCACCCTTCTACTTTCCGTCTCTGTGAGTTGGAACCACTCTAAAGACCTCGTATCAATGGAATTAATGCAATGCTTGTCCTTTTGTGCCTGGTTTATTTCACTTAGCATAATGTCCTCAAGGTTCATCCATGTTACAGCATGTGTCAGAATTTTCTTCCTTTTTGAGGCTGAATTCTATTCCATTCTATGTGTATACATTTGGGTTATCCATTCATCTGTCAGTGAACATTTGGGCCGCTTCCACCTTCTGGCTATTGTGACGAATGCCACAATGAACATGGATGTATGAATATCTTCAAGATCCTGCTTTCAATTCTTTCGAGTATATACCCAGAAGTAGAATTTCTGGATGATTTGGTAGTTCTATTTTTAATTTTTTGAGGAATCGCTGTACTTTTTCCCATAGCAGCTGCACAATTTTACATTCTTATCACTAAAAATTCTATTTTATGCATTATTATCTTATTTGTTTCATTTTGTTATGTTTCTTCCTCCCAAATAGATCATAGGTTTTTCAAAGGCAGGAACCAATGGTTTCTTGATTTTTCATTCCAGTTAGAAGGCCCACACTAAAGAACAATCATCTGAATTTTATATCTAGAGTACATGTTTTAGGTATCACCTATAGCCAGACAACAGGAGTAGGTCATTATTTTAATAGCATCAAGTAACTGTCTCCCAGATAGGTCCAATTCCAAATGATAACTGCTCTCCATAAGCAAATTATTGAATACAACTATATTAAAGTGTGTTGTTAGCCAATGTAGAAACACTCCTAAGTTTACAATTACACATGAAGGGCAATATGTGTAAACACTTAATACAAATAACTACTATCAAGTCTTATCAGAAAATGAGTAAAATGATCCACCTTCAATATGGCCTTCAGTTATAATCTGACCATAGAAACATAATACATAATATGTTCTAGTGAGCAAACATCTCACGTTTGATGATCTAAATATAACAATTTCATTTATTCTTTGAAATACAGCTTTGATTTTAGCAGATTGGAATTATAATTCCACATACTTTGGAAATAAGGGTGAAGTAGAACATATGCCAACTAGAAAGAACAGTGCAAACCTAAGGGCTGTTAAAATCTCTCCCCAAGGAAATGTTTAAAATAACCTCAATGTATGGAATAAGGAAACTGGTCAGAAAACTTAAAAGCATTATTTTGGGGAAAATGTTAATGATTTTACGAAGAAGGATGATGCTGAGAAAAGAAATGTAATCTTTCTCTTGGTGTTTTAGGTCCAATACAAAGCTGACTACAATAGCTGGATGAAAGGTTGCGGCTGGGTACCTTTTGGGTCCTTAGAAATAGAAAAGGCAAAGCGAGCTTCAGACATTCTGAATGAGGTAAAGCCATCATATCTCTGTGTGTCACAGAGATAGATTTGTGAATGTGACATGGTAAAACTTCCCAAACCATGGGAAATGCCTCCTTTACCACTTCATTTTCTAGTATTGTTGCTGAGGAAAAAAACCCCAACTTATCATGTGCATGAATTATCTCGGTAGATAATCATACCTCTTCACATCACCAAAGTCGTTTACGTTAACCACTCATGACAGAAATATTTTTAACAGCTTTATCGAGGTATAGTTTGCATACCACAAAAATTCACATATTTTAAGTGTACCCCTTGACAAGTTTTAATAAATCCATATAGCTGCATAGCCATCCCCACAATTGAATTTTTTTTAACTGGTAAATGCATCTTTATTTTTCAGAAGCAAGATAGAAAATGAGTAGTATATTATGAAATACACAATATAGGAGTGAAATCATCATGGTCTAGGGAGGTTGGACTGCAAGCTCTGTTAGGTCGTTGGATGCAGTTGGTATCAAGAGGTTAGGTCAAGGTTGCTTCAACTTTGGCCTTGGGTTTCATGAGATCCCCCTACTAGTTAGGAATGGTTTTAGCAGCAAGAAAAAGAGAATACTTGAAGTTATGGAGGCTACTCAAGTACTTTGTCTTCAAAATAGTCAGGAGGGGGTTGGCTGCTGGCGTAGATTCAGGGGCTCAGTGATATCAGACCCACAATTGAATTTTTTTTTTTTTTTTTTTTTTGCGGTACGCGGGCCTCTCACTGTTGTGGCCTCTCCCGTTGCGAAGCACAGGCTCCAGACGCGCAGGCTCAGCAGCCATGGCTCACGGGCCCGGCCATGGCTCACGGGCCCAGCCGCTCTGTGGCATGTGGGATCTTCCCAGACCGGGGCACGAACCCGTGTCCCCTGCATCGGCAGGCAGACTCTCAACCACTGTGCCACCAGGGAAGCCCCACAATTGAATTTTAAGATGCTGCTAGCACCCCAAAAAGTTCCCACTCCCATTTTCAACCCCAGACAACCACCGATCTGCTTTCTGCCTCGATAATTTTGCCTTTTCTAGAAATTTCTTTTGTATCAGTATCAGACATATGTCTCAATGTTTTTGAGGTTCGTCCATATCTCTACATGTGTCTGTAATATTTTCCTTTTTATTAGTGAGAGTAGTATTCCTTTGCACGGCTATATCACACTTTGATTGTCCAGTTAGTGGGCATGTGGACTTTTTCCAATATTTGGCAATTGTGAATTATGCATATAATGATTATTATAGAAATTTTCTTTGAAGTATTATTTTACCTTATGCTATATTCTTGATGACTTTGAAGTAGTATATATGTTGTTATTCAGTCTAAGAAGAAACAAAGATGATCTTGGGGCTCTTAAAGCAGTCCCTTCTCTGACAGCAATTGAACATTCCCCCTGCTGTCAGGTGAATCCGTCATCCAGGAAGTTAGACCACATAAAGAAGGGTCAGAGGTGCTAAGTGAGGGTTGTCTTCCACACCCAAGTTTTTGTTGTTCTTATTGTTTTGTACGTCTGTTTGTTTTTGGTGAAAACCACTTTATCTACTCGAGATCTTTCAGAAAAAATTCTGGGTTAGTGGTTTTCAGAAGTCTGAAGTTGAAAGAGGGATGCTACTATATACACAAAAGTGGGATGTATAGTATGAAAAAATGAAAAGAACTAGGAGAAAAATATAGGAATAAGGGTAGCTAGATGTTGCCAGCTCCCAATTGAGACATCTTCCCCATGGCCCCTCTCCTGTGTCTCCTCAGCACTTCAGTGATAACTTATGTACTAACCACATTAAGGCTTGCAAAGCAAAAGTCCTCCTTTTCTTATTAGTAATCCATAGCTATTGCCCTAGTTCCTCAATTCCTCCTCCCTCAACTGGAAAACTTCAGTTGCTGATGGAGTGACAAGGAAAATGACATTCCTGGGAGCTTGTTTAGTGTCATGTAAAGATACTCCAAAGATACTCCATACTCTTGCATGCTTTCCTGTTAATCCTTTAGAAAACTTTGTGATGTTTCGAGATTCTGCTGAGCTTTCACAGTGCCTTCTTTCACATCATAAGCAAGAAATTAAGAGAATAAAGTCATTCCTGAAAGTTGTATTGGTCTGTACTGCCCCAAACAATCCAAAATTAAAACAATTTCTTTAAATGTTGGTTTTTGTATTGTATTCATTTTTTCACCCAAGCCAGCAAAGAATCAAATATTTTTACATTTTAAAATCAGGAAAATTTCTTGTCCCTCCAAAATAAATTTAAAGTATTTTAATTTATTAGCCTTTGGTGAAAGTATTATTATCTTTCTCTTTTTAATTTGTCAAACAGAAAAAATATCGCCAACATCCAGATACTCTCAAGTTTACTTCGATTGAAGATGCTCCAATTATAGTACAGTCTAAGATTAACCAGGCCCAGAGGAGTGATGTAAGTGTTAATTCTCTCTGTATTTAAATGTTAACTAATACAAATACATTTGTATTCTAAATGTAATGATCACCTCTACTTATTAGGCAATCTAAAGAGACTCAGTTATATAAGCAACTGTATAATTCCCCAGGTTTTCATTAAAAAAGCACACCTAATTCATATCTTTAGAGGATTATACATATTTCAGTGATTGGACATTGCTCTCGAAGGAAAAGGTAAGAGGGGCTTCTCTTGATAACCAGAAACACAAGCCTATTTCTAGGAAAGATCAGGAAGGTGATTATAGATACTACATCATATGAAAGTGTTATATTTAAAGTCAGAGGTAAGACAAAAATCATGCTTAGTAAAAACTACCCCTAAATCCCTTTAGTCACCCACTGCCCACAAAATATAACATAGATAGTTGGTAAATCCCACCCTATTAACTTTTCCTATGCTCAGGAAAGTGTCTACAGGTTAACTTTGTCTTTGGGTCACTTTCCTGAGCTCTTAGGTAGGTCCCCCTACCTTAGTCTGGAGGTTCTTAGCACATACCAAGGGACTTTTGCCAAGGCTAACAGGCACTAAGATCAGACCCTGTGCAATTGCATAGGAGATCTTAAATGCCTACAAATATTTTCCGGGGAATGTGGGGAAGGCACAGAGAGTGTCTTTCATTAAAAAAACTCCTCTGTGCAATGTGATCTGCTCCAAAATTATTCTCTTGTGCCATTAAACACTTTCCCCTACTTTGTTTGTTTATGCATTTTTTTCTCTTCCAGATTGCCTACAAAGTCAAAGGGGAGGAAATTATTCACAAGTACAGTCTGCCGGCGGACGTGCCCCAGTTCATTCAGGCTAAAGTCAACGCCTACAATATCAGTGAGGTGTGCATGTGGGCTCAGCCGCTCACTGAGGGTTAAGCCTTTTCTACACGTGGTCTGAGTTATCTTCAAATGACATTTTTCTTTCAGAATATGTACAAAGCAGACTTGAAAGACCTGAGCAAGAAGGGATACGACCTGAGAAACGATGCGATCCCCATCAAAGCTGCCAAAGTTGCCAGGCAGGCAGCGAGTGACGTAAGTCCAGCTGGTGGTTACCTGTGTGTAACCAGAAAATGGGGGCAGGTGGGCTTCTTATCCAAGTCTCCACGTCTGCTGTCCCTGACTGGAAGCAAGCCAGGCTGAAACTATTTAGAGAAGAAAGTTCCCTAAACAGATCTGAATTTTCTTGGGGGTAAGGATTTGTAAAACCTTAACCAATCTGTTCTAATCAAGCCCCCTAATTTAAAATTCTCATCTATATTTCTGCACAAATTCACATTATTTCTCTTATAGAAATAAAGAAGTTACCTGCTATTTACATCATAATAACCTCCTGATGGTAAACCTTTATCTCAAAACTTGCTTAATTTCTATGAATTCCCTCTTTGCCTTACCTCTCTTTTCATTTCATTGCTTCTACAGACTGATGAATGGGCTTCAAGTGTCAGAGCCCCTAAGAGTCAGTCATTAGGTTGCATTAAAGTGAAGACTTTTGTTTCTTTTCCTATCTTACTTCAACTCAGATGTCAACTGAAGTCACTTTGCTCTTTGAGATTTAAATAAAATGGACTCAAGCCCCCTCCTGCTGTCCTGCAGGAAGTGGGATTCCCTCCCCATGATTGCTGCATTCTCTGAGGTTTTTGCTTTTCTGATCACCTCTGGCTCCTGGTTTGCACATGATGGTTTTGCTCTGGCTCACCTGGGCTCTCCTCCCCTAGATTTATTCTCTTTCTGCTCTGCATGATCCAGAGATGGAACTCAGCCCCTTCTTTTTGGTTTCCCTCCAAATCCCAAGTACAACTTTAATGGTTATTTGAAACGGAGTTGTCACTGCAGCAATGTAAATACCTTAAGGCTGAATAATGAATGTCCATGTCCTAAAAGCCCTGCTCCAGAATTTCTCACTGATCCCCTTTCTATGTGGGTGATCTCCTCCAGCCACCCCACCCCAGCATACACATAAACCTTTCCTCACATCTCTGCTACTCCGTTTCCTGGGGTTCTTCCCAAGTCTCCTCAAGGACACTTAATTCTCCCCACTTTATTATTTGGAACCAATTAGTGTTACACACTACTGGTTCTGGGTCTCCCTTTGAATATCCAAAGATTCATTAAAATTGTACTATTACTACTACTAGTATAACTCTATTATTAAAATAGCCAGCTATTTGGCTTTAGAAGCACAGTATAATTGGTAGAGTTTGTGAAATATTTATCTTTTCATTTGTCTCTATCACTAAGTGGAACAGAACTTATTTTACTTTGTCGCTGATGTAAATTATAGTAACATCCCCCAACCTCCCTTGGGTGGCAGAAGCAACCACAGACAACCAAATGGGCTCTAAATAACATTTTAATTTTAACAGGCTACATTTCATATATATACAAGCAAATATCAAATTGTTTCGTTATTGAAATAATTTCTGGGAAGCTCAGTTGCTCAAATCATGGTCTCATTGTTCAGTAAAACCTTCATAACTACATTAAAAAATATGCCCACCTTTGTTTCCAACAGGTTCACTACAAAAAAGATTATGAAAAAGCCAAAGGGAAAATGGTTGGCTTCCAGAGTCTCCAAGATGATCCTAAACTGGTTCATTATATGAATGTGGCCAAGATACAATCGGACCGGGAGTATAAAAAAGACTATGAGAAGACAAAGACCAAATACAACACACCCCATGATATGTTCAACGTTGTGGCAGCTAAGAAAGCTCAGGATGTTGCCAGCAATGTCAACTATAAGCATTTGCTTCATCACTACACCTACCTGCCTGATGCCATGGACCTGGAACTGTCGAAAAACATGATGCACATACAGAGCAATGTAAGTGACATTTACTCCACAAGACAGTCCCCCTCTAAGGAGGGAGCCTGCGTGAGAGAACCCACTGCCTGGGGCACTCACTTCTCTCTTCTCTCTTTGGTGTAGAACGTCTATAAGGAAGACTACAACACCTGGATGAAAGGCATAGGCTGGATACCTATTGGCAGTCTGGAGGTAGAAAATGTTAAAAAGGCAGGTAATGCCCTGAATGAAAAGAAGTACAGGCAACATCCAGACACCCTCAAATTTACCAGCATCGTGGACTCCCCAGTTATGGTCCAGGCAAAACAGAACACAAAGCAAGTCAGTGATGTGAGTACAACAAAACAGAGGGTGCAAAAGGATGGAGGGAGGCTTCAAAAGATGAGCTCATCATTTTTATTCTCTGAGCCTGATATCTTTTCCTTTTAAAATTATTATTTTATTTCATTTAAAAATAATAATTACAATTATTTTTAGTTTGGGCACTAACATTTTCTTTTTTTTTTTTTATATCTTGCTTTTTACCTTCCTTTTAAAAATGTCTTCCTTTTTAACTGCCTATAAATACTGTGTTATTGGATAAAGTATTTGAGAAAGTGCAAAAAGTTCTACCCTAGAACGACACACACACAAACAAACCTTAAGCTTAAATCCTATACACGTTATTGTGGCAAATGCATCATATTCAATTCTATATTAAGTTGTTCATATTTGCTTTTCATATATAAAATATTAGTACAGGGAAATAATACACATGAGTAGATGATTTCTCTCCTCAGAATTCATCATATACAATTATTATAGATACTTTTCTTTATTTATGTCATGGAGGAGATTAGTGTATTGTTTGCCTGCCTGTCCATGAGGAATGTATATGCTCTGGCTAAAGACAGCTCTCAAGGAAAAGTTGTATGAAAGAGCTAAAGGGACATCAAAAAACATTCATTCATTAATTCATTGAATGAGTGTTTTTGAACACCTTCCATGTGCCAGGCACTATATTATGTGCTGATGGTATAAAGATGAAACAGACGAGGATGAATGGGATACAGGACAAGAGTATAAGACAAAGGCATGGATAGAAACAGCATCATCATATGGAGAGACGAATGCTACAGGAGAGGCATGTGCTAAGTAAGTATAAGAGTAGAGGGTAACGGCCTGCCAGAGCTTCCCTGGCAAATAAGGGAAGGCTGCATTACTGGCAAAAGGAAAAACATAATGACAGTCAAAAAGTAATGAATGGAAGGACAGTGAAGGATGAAGGATTTAGGATTGTAATCCTTCAAGACCTGATTATTGAGGGTCTTGAATGTTAATTTATACTCTGGACATTATGGGGTAGGTAACAGGAAGTACTGAAGATTTTTAATCCATGGAGTTGCATTATCAGGTCTGTGTCTTAAAAGATAATTGGCAAAAAAATGCAGAGAATATATTGGAAAGGGGAGAGATTGAAGGCAAGGAGGTGAATTAGAAAGCTGCTACAGAAATTCAACAGAAACCTTATTTGGACCTAACTCAGGCAATAGCAGTGGGAAAGGAGATGTTTAGAAGGTAAAATTAACAAGATTCTCTGAATGCTTAGATGTGGTTTCTAAAGGCAGTGAGGAAGTGAAGATAGCTCTTGGATTCCTAAAAGAAATTATTTAGTATTTGGAGATTCATTTAGATATCAGCCATTTCAGATTTTACTTGTGATACGTGCATACCAGTTTACATATGGTATTCCACACAGACATGCCTGGGAAATGGAGGTATAGATGATAAATGACAATCAAGAGATTAAAAATCTACTTGGGATTCTGATTGTGTTTTAGTTTTAGAAACTGAGCAATTTCTTTCTTTTTCATTACCAAGAGGAGGATACAGTATGGTTTCTACCCCATGCACTTTGGTGTCTTTCAGACATCTTTAAAATGGCAAAATAGGATAAATGTGAAGTGGTAAACCTCTTGCGTAGGCTGGATTTACATATAATCACCTTTATATCATGAGGAAATTATTATGTGCTTTTACTGATACAATTATAATTGGAAAGTTTTTAGGGGAATTGAAAGACTCATTCTAACTACCTCTTTCTCTCTAAGAATAAAAAACCAAAAAATAAAAATAAAACCAAGACTTTAAGAACTATTAATTCCACTAGCAAAAATGACGTTTTCTGGCTTTAGTGAATTCTGTTATCCATTTTAGGGTTTCACATTTGAACTCAGTTTTTATTCATCTCTGGCAAGCAAAGATTTCTATTTTCTTAGGATTTTTTTCTCTCTATTTTAATACAGAGTTTTTGGGTCTTCCTTAATGAGATTCTTGAGTTTCTTAAAATAGGAAGATGGCTTTGATAATTTTTTTTTTTTTTTGCCGTACGCGGGCCTCTCACTGTTGTGGCCTCTCCCGTTGCGGAGCACAGGCTCCGGACGTGCAGGCTCAGCGGCCATGGCTCACTCCGCAGCATGTGGGATCTTCCCGGATCGGGGCACGAACCCGCGTCCCCTGCATCGGCAGGCGGACTCTCAACCACTGCGCCACCAGGGAAGCCCGGCTTTGATAATTTTAAGTAATAGAAATTGTGGGGGATTATGCTAGGAATAACTTCTTTAAGCGTGTAATTAATGTATTTTCCTTTTTGTACCATCCATAATGCATTTTTCTTTTAACATCTTCATTGGAGTATAATTGCTTTACAATGGTGTGTTAGTTCCTGCTTTACAACAAAATGAATCAGTTATATATATACATATGTTCCCATATCTCTTCCCGCTTGCATCTCCCTCCCTCCCACCCTCCCTATCCCACCCCTCCAGGCGGTCACAAAGCACCAAGCTGATCTCCCTGTGCTATGCGGCTGCTTCCCACTAGCTATCTACCTTACGTTTGGTAGTGTATATATGTCCATGCCTCTCTC